CTAAAGGTCATCTTGGATTTGCCACGGTCCCTTTTATGTCTGCTCAGTTTACTGTGAGACAGATAGGATGTTTAATGCTAATGCAGGATATAGGCTACCACCATTTTATAATGTAACCTCAAACATTTTGGTTGAGGGCGTAACAGTTAATGGAGCAAACAAACATCTACAATACCATACTGTCATCAAATGGCTGCTCTAAGGTCTTGTGACAGCTACAAAACCATGTACAATCAACTGTTGAAGGCTGTGTGATTCAGCCAAAATATTTCAGAACAGAAATTTGTTACGTTTCCCGTCTATATTTAATATTACAGTCGAACTTCCCTTAAATGGCCACCCACAATGAGCAGATTTGGTGGTCGCTTACAGTCGATAACTTACAAGAATCAAACCACAGGAGGGCTTTTCTGAGAAGAGGTCCGATCAGATTTACTTATAATAATGCACGCAATTTCTAAGTTCCAATGTGTGTAGTTATAGTTGTCGCTAGAAGATCTTTTTATACTTTAAGTAGCACAGCACATAAATCAAAACATCAAGTGGTCCCTTTAAAAAGGTTAAAAACAAAGGAAAATTATTTAACCATCATCCCCGAAAAGTGGTAGCAGTTGCTTACCAGAGGTGGTTGTTTAAAACAGGGTCCACCTCTGAGGCTTTAACTGGGAAAACCCTAGCGTTTTTAATAGGTGGTCACATAGATATGGAGGTTCGACCGTAATTCAAGTTTGGAATTGGCCACTGAGGGCTGATGAAATATTGAAAATATCTTCTGACTGGTGTCACACTACATGTAGGTAGTCAACACAATAAAGCCAAAAGTGCTGTTCAACATACAGTGATGCAGCGCCTTACCCCCTTCTTGAGTCTGCAGGTAAGATCCACCACAGAGACATCTGGAACAGGAACACGGAATGCCATACCAGTAAGCTTTCCATTCAGTTCAGGGATAACCTTCCCAACAGCCTTAGCAGCACCTGTAGATGCTGGAATTACATTCTGATGAGCTCCGCGGCCATCACGCCATTTCTGGGATGGAGGAAAAGGGGAAATGAGCAAAGTTCAAACATGATGTATTTTTCAACACTACCCTTGGTTCATACCCCAGAATTTATTTGCCAAATAATCTAAACTGGATTGTTAGCAAAATGGTTGGTGAAAAGTTATTAAAGTTTGAACACACTAGGTGACATGTCATCCCAAAAAAACACTCCTTGTGTACAAGTCAGGCATCAAACAGCATGACACTTTGCAGCAACAAATCTCTTTGTGCCCACTGGTTTGATTATGTGCGACTTCTTGTAGCGGCAAAATTCTGTTGCAGAGACAAGATTTTCAGAAAAAAGTGATTTGTCCCCGCAACATCACATATTGCCACAACATGTTACTGCATCTTGTGACTAAGTGTTCCTACCTTTTACACTTATCTACAGAAAAATGGGGTGTTTTGAAGTTCTCTTTTGATGTGGTTAACACATGTAGCTCTCATTTTACAGATTTTTTTGGAAGCTTTGCTTGGCACATACCTTTCCACTTGGTCCATCAACAGTCTTCTGTGTGGCAGTATAAGCATGGATCGTGGTCATTAAACCCTCTTCTATTCCAAAATTGTCATTTATGACTTTGGCTAAAGGAGCAAGGCAGTTGGTTGTGCATGATGCATTGCTAGGGGTAAAAAAAATGTCACAGGTCGCACGACGTTACATTAAAACTGGTCAAGTGTTCCTTAGAAGAATTAACAATAATAAATTAGTTCATGTGTCAGTGCGTGTATGTCGAGATATTGAGCACGTGGGAAGCTTGGAGAGCACAGAAGAGGCATAAGAGTTGTTCGAGCCTCTTGAGTGCTCTCCAAAAAAGTGACTTGCACACGCCACAGCCTGCACAGTTTGCAGAGATGACAACAACAACAACAACACTTGCTTTTCCCTACTTTTGGTTGACACATTCAAAAGTGTTCTCTTTATAAAACACATGGTTAACACTTCATACTGTACTGTGGAGTTACGGATGCACTTAGGAGACATCTTGGGAGGATTGCTAAGCTCACAAGAAATCAAGGTGTAGTTTATTGACGTCATCAGCATGCTCAATGGGAATATGAAGCACGCGCACGCTATTGAATTTGATTAGGCGAATATTCTAGCTATGTCATAATAAATTTTGAACGTGGTTTTTTCATGATTGAATTCGTTCTTAAATTCAATATCACGCTCTTCAGTCAAAGAATTGAAAATTCAAAAGAATCTTTCATTGGGATGGATGCTGATGGATTAATGAAAATTATTTGATCTCTGAAGTTTAAAACATCAATGAATTACAATGATGCAATGTGGCATAAAAACAAATGAAGCAAAGTTGTTCAAAGTTGGCTGGTTATGAAACATTAGCTAGGCAGTTTAAGCTAATTATGAACTGGGAATTATTTTCAGTGAATAATAACTGATTACTACTTCCACCCACCAAAAGTGATAGTACTCAGTTCAAGACAATCACGACTAAAAAAACTTCTATAAAGCACAATCTATCAACATACCTAACAACTGTCATAGATTTTGGATCATACTTGTCCTCATTCACTCCCATCACAAACATGGGAGCATCAGCTGAGGGGGCTGAAATGATGACCTTTTTGGCCCCGCCCTTCAAGTGAGCGCTGGCCTTTTCTGTCGTTGTGAAAACACCAGTTGACTCAACAACATATTCAGCACCGCTTTCACTCCATGGAATTGCGCTTGGGTCTTTCAATGCATAGACAAAGATTGATTTGCCATTTATGACAAGCTTGCCATCTTTTGCCTCAACAGTTCCCTTGAATCTTCCATGAGTGGAGTCGTACTTAAACATGTACACCTTTTTGACAAAACAGCAGAAATTAATGAACTTATCATGAATCAGTACGTCTCGATTTGCTTTTTGTCTGTGACCTACACGACCTGCATGGAAAGTCTGGAAAAACTGTGGAGATCAGTGCTAAAATCTGAGAAATATCTGAAAATATTACACGTGTGCTGATAAGTAGAAACAAAATTTTAAATCAAAGTGCAACCACAAACTCAAAATAACTTACATTAATTGAAAATCATTAAGACGTAGATCTGACAGTTCATTTTTTGTGCGTCAACCGATTACGCATGAGCTCATGCCGGCAAAAGATGGTATCATGACCTATCAGGAAGCGGCCGCCATTATTGGAACAATACGATATTGATTTAGTTTACCGGTTGTTTAAAAAAACTGCCTACGAATCCTGTTCTGTTAGTCACAATAAAATACAATTATTCTTCAATGGAATTACACAAGCAATAATAAAAATATTGTTAACCATGTAATCCAGATCGATAAATGGATCGTTCACTGCGACAACTTGTACTTCTTCATGTTCCTGGGAGGCACGCATTACAAGGCGTCCAATACGTCCAAATCTACGATAAAAACGCAAGAATATGTTACCTTTAACAATCAAATGATGATGGACGAGAACAGAAACACAGAAAAAAGAAGCAGCAAAGCTCATTCAACACTTTCACTAACCCATTAATTCCTACTTTCACCATCGTGATGTCGAGTTTTGGGGTGTTTTCTGTGAAAGAATCAACAACTAACTTCAATACGATCAAGTATTTAACTGCACACAAAAATTATTGTTATAAGACAAATGTCCATTGAAATGAGGGGTTAAGACTGACCATTTACCTAGAACAGAAGAGAGATCACAATTACTGCCACGTTCACCGATAGAATGCAAGATCACAGTGAACAATTTTGCAGAATGACCCTTCAAGTGCTGCTGGTGCTGAAATATGATTGGTGCATATGGATCACATGACGGGTGTCGTGAAGCCCTGCACGGTTCTTGCATGCTGCGGCAGCCATCACAAAGTTTGTACTTTTCTTGTGTAAATAAAGGTACATTTCTCTGATGTTACGGAAGATTTTCAATGTAGAACATTAAAGATAGCAACCTAGTGTGGGTTAAAGTACTGTATCCAAATAAAAAGCCCTATTCACCCCCCGGGCATCTTGTCTTCCCTCTTGCATGACACTCCAGACGTCCGTGATGGACTGGAGTGGATGCACTGCACTGGACTGGACTATGAGCTGGGGGACTTAGGAGTAGATAGGATATGTGTTTGTATTGCCGGTACCAGTTTCTTCAGGGTGGGTATTAACCTACCTGCCTGACAGCCTAGGGAAATGAATGAATGGAATTAAAATGCAAGTTGTTCCATTGAAAATTCCTTTCAAATCCTGCCGAATTGCTCTTGACAATGAAATTGATTATGATGTTAAAGGCAGTGGCAGCCGGACGATTGATGTGGGAGGTTGGGGTGGAACCTGGATACCACCGAAGCCTTAAAGTCTAAGACCGAAGTTGCTCAGTTCGTCACACAAGAGACCGTTCTTTTATTTCGCTTCGTTTTGCGAAAGGAGTTAAGTAATTTCTACCCAGGTAAGCTGGATCATTTTATATTTTGCCGTGGGAAGCCATGGCCGAGACTTGAATTAACTGACTGCGCGCGTGTAAAGTGCGCGCGCGAGCTTTGGAAAAACTACTGTGACATACGACATCTCTATGACAACTGGAAATGTTATTCACTTCCTCAGAAGTTTTCTTGAAGGCGCAGGTCATTTGTTTTGTGCTGAAAACAAACTCGTTTATCAGTTGATTCTACTTATAGGTGAATTTTAAACCAATCGCAATTAAGAACGGTAAGTGTTTTGAATTTTAACAACAGAAATTTGAAGAGCTATTTAATTCCCCAAACGAAGAATCTTTTTTAAACGAGAAATTTTGCAGAATTTTGAAGCCGACCCTCTCTTGAAATTAACTGTGCATGCGCCAAAAGTTGACTAATCCCGCACAGAGCTCTATCTTAAACCGAATAATTGCACAAAGTATTGCCTGTCACCAGTTGCAGTTTTCAAAGTACAGAAAGGCATCTTTTTGATAAAGTTAAATAGGAAATTACTATACCGTGAAAAAGTTCTCATTTTTCGTGAAAACTAACACACATTTCAGTCACTCTACATCGCAGAAAGTCTGCTACTGAACCGCATGGGGGGTGTTATTTTTTTGACAGTCCCTATTTTACTTCTTGGCATAGTTCTTTCAACTTCAGTAGAGTTGTTGGGATTCTTAAACTTGTTATTTTCAGTTTAAATTCGTTTCTTTCATTATCTCTGATCATCAAAGGCCCCATGGGTGAAAAGAATTTAGCTGTCATTTTTATTTTATAATTGTCTGATCATTGCATTTTTCTTCAACAATGTTTTACTTTTAATTGATACGTCACTCTCTTATTACAGAGACGTCAAAATGGAAGTACAAGCTGAAATCCATTCGCTACCAAGCGAGAGAAAATCTTTGCTACAGTCAACCAGTCACTCAACTATCCCTTATGACAGGATCGTGAATTCGATGCGCCAAGCTCGAAAAAACAGAGATCTACTAAAGCTGGCTGAACAAATCGAAGTACTTGACGACCAGGGAGCATTGAGACCAGAAATTCGCAAGGTAGAAAATCATTGCATGGCATTTAGTCTGATTAACTAGGAAGGGCGGGTCTTTTTTGATCGGGTTACAAGTTAGCCTGTTCCAGACTCCGAGATAATTGGGTCCGCTGAATTGAGAAAGCGCAAACGTAAAAATAAATAAATAAATAAATAAATAAAAAAATGGGAGGAAACTGTTCGCGTGCCCTTCACTCTCGCGTCTTCCCTACTATCCGAGAGCCTGGAACAGGCTAGGTACAAGTAGGCCAGAGAGGACTGGGATATGGAACGGAAGTAAATGTGCTTACTAAGGCAATTATTACCCTGTGGGACCACTTTCCATGATAAGTCATTGTCGCATTGTTTTCGTTAACCAGTTTATTTTCCACACATTTTACAGCGTCACGTTGGCAAAATGTACGTTCCTTTCCGCGTATATGAATATAAACAGTGTTCGATGTATGATGCAAGAAAAAAATTCTTAATTTCATTAAAATATCTGAAATATTCTTTAATGGTTTGTACCTTTTAACTAGCAGAGTAAACTCAGCTGAGGCGGTTCACTTACTCGTTCAATTCTTTTCTTTTTACAGGGCAGGAGTGTACTTCCGTCTGCGTTGAGGAATCTTTTCAACCGACTAACAAGTCTTTTCAAGAAGAACTCGCGCGTAAATTCTCACCGTCATTTAAGGAGACGGAAAAATTATATGTAGAGAAAGAGATCAGAACAATGAGTTTACCAGAGCTATCTGAACTGCTGGATTCATTAATTTAGAGAAGACCTTTGTAAATAGTTTTAGTTTTGTAAATACATGTTCGTGAAATTTGTCACAATTAAACCACGTTAAGACTTTACGGTTATCCTGGTTGTTTAGTTATCCTCTCCAGACTATTCTGGGCGCTGCTGCACCGTCTAAATTTGCTATCTATGCCATGAGTCTCCTTAGTTCCAAAGTTTTTTTTTTTAAATATTCGGTGGAAATCTCCTCTACCGTCCATATGCAGTATGGTCCAATGGACCACCCAGTTTTACGATGTCTCAAAACGACTCAAGTCCAGACTCTCAGTTTATTTTTATCCCACACTGCGCTCAATCAAACGCCACCTTAAAGCACCTTCTGTTTCCATAACTGAAGTACATACTTAACTCTTTATTTTTACTCCAACAAGGAAAGCTATTTACATTTGAATATAAAACGTTTTAAGGTTGCACGTATTCACTCGTTGAAGTCTTTCTCCACTCTGAGAGGCAAGTGCATGGCTTAAAACTTCAAAGTGAATCCGGCGACTGCAGCAGAACCTTTCTTGGATGTTTGAAGCCTGAATCCTTGACTGTCAGTTCCACTGTCCCCTTCATCGGCCTGTAAACAAAGAGAAGAAAAGAATACAGGATGCAAAATATAATTAACTTAAATTAATAAATATTTACCCTTGGCATCATTTACAGCACTTGTGCTAGACATAACGGGGTTAAGAATCCTAACTGGCCGGAGGCAAATCAGCTGGCCATTTACAAGCGCGGTCGAGAATTTGAGCTCGGGACTACCGTGAACAAATCCAGTTAGCGGTCAGGGCGGGAGGTGAACTCGGAGCCTCCGAATTGTAAGTCCAGCGCTCTAACCACTCAGCTAGCCACCCTGCTGTAAACTATTTGGGTTATGCAGTTAGCGCTTCTTCTTATTCTTTCTTCTCTTTCAAACTTTTGTTACGGTCCAAACAGAGTTTAACAGGACAATGTCCGCTTGATTTTGCTGTTTGTCGTAGAAATAAGAATGTTTACTCAACTGTGTTCCCAAAGGACCTTCTTTCTATTTGCGGCCGGAAAGCAAATTATTTGTAAGCAAAATGTCTCAAGGGCGGATCTCATTTCCAGGGTATCTCTTAAAAAACTTGGCAACACGGCGACCACAACAGTGTTTCTAAGCACCAAGCGCTTAAAATATTTCTTTGGGAACACGAGAAAAATCTGGAATTTACATTCCCTGCTTTTTCAGGCCTTGTCACACGGCAATGGAAAGCGTTGCAACAGTGTTGCCGCGACGTTTCGAACTCTTAAACATTGTTGCCTTAAATCGTCATAGTAAACAGTATAGTAATAGTAGCACGTCGCGTTTATGAAAAGACCATCAACGGTTGCGGGCTCGCGTTTATCACAAACCAGCTTTGCAAACATAGCCCCACCCTCCGGGGCTTGGGGACTGTGTTCCACATCCTTCTTTTTGGGCCTTTTCATCATCTCACTCTTGGCAGGCCACGTGGGGAACATGGAGGGGTCCACTGGTAGTGGAGACTCCTAAGGAGGGAGGGGTAAAACGCAAATGGAGCACATTAGTACACTACGGTCCCCAGCATAATAATTGCGTCCAAAGTTGGGCAGTGCTAATAGTGTCCCTTACAAAGTTTGCTCCGTTTTCAACGCCATCTTAGCTACCTCTCCCGCCCTTTATTGTTTTTTTTTTTGTTTTCTGGCCTTTTTCTCGGCAGGAAACTGGTATTTATTCATGCCTCGCTTTGAAGTTCGCCCCACCACCGATCTCTGTGGAACGCAACGTGAAACGCAAAATGATTCTTCCCACATGCAGCGTTCAGCTTTTACTTATTTGTGTTTTTGTGACTTTTTGTCGTATGATGGTTGGACGTGATTCATGAATTTAATTATATCGCCAGTGAATTAAAAGCCGCAGGTTTAATACCTAGAAAGAGTGCTGCCCGAAACTAAATAAAATCTTCAACCTTGCTAGTCAAGAAGCTGCAATACAAAGAAATCAACAGAAAGCACTTACACTGAAATATTCATGTTCAAGAGCTTTATCAGCAGTTATCCTTTTCTTGGGGTCATACGTTAGAAACCTAAAAATACAAAACAGAAAACCCAACTCACTGCAGTTACATGTATTTCATCTACACACAGTCTGACAAGCCCGGGGTCAGGTTCGCCTCTTTTCCCGCTCGGTTCGCCTCTTGCTTTCTATCATTTGTCATTTTTTCCCATGAAGGAGCCTGGTCCCAGGGACCCGTTTCTTGGAAGTCCCGGTAATTTTCGGGTCCCGAAATTATATACTCAAATCCAAGCGTAGGCCCTACTTAACAAACCAGTTTGTTTTGACAGCTTTCCTAACCTGCGAGAGCATCCGGTTTTTTCCGCTCCACTTTCACCCGCTTTCGGAGGAAGAGAAGTGACGACCGGAAATACGTCTGCGGTTCGCAGGCTACAGCTACAGCTTTCCAGGTCTACTGATTATCGGGACTTGCGAGACACAGCCCGCTGACTGTCATTTGCAAAGTTACAAATATTATATATGTAACTTCTAAAAGTAATTAACACAGAGAAACTTACTTGTTTAACAAACTGAAGCCCTTGTCTGTTAAATACGTGCCAAACCTGTTTCTTAAGTTGTTGTAAGGATACTCTGTGAACGTCATCTGAAAGAGCAAAAGTTGTCAAATTATCGCAAAGAACAACGTGTTGAGCAAACGTTCGGCATTTCCTGTGTACCACCGCCATCTTGGTACTGGATGTCAGAGATGGACTGGGGAGAGTATGATCACGTGGATAAAATCCTCAAGTGCGACCAATTCAAATAAAACGACGTTGAGTGGTTCTTTCCTCTGACACTGAAAAAATCACTTTATTTGAGTGTCAATGTATTAAGCACGAAAGTACTAATTGGCGAAAACATTCTAACGTGTCCTACTAAAGACGGGACCGTCACTTACGTGGTGAACCGAGCCACGCGAAGGTCTAGCTGCTTGCAGTGCAAAGGCATTACAACTGTGTTCATTTCTCAGTTATTTTAAGACCCTGAGTGTTGGTCCGGCCCCGGGAATCGAACCCGTAACCCCTCGCTGTGCAGTCAAACGCTCTACGACTGAGTTAACACTGACTCAAACTATACAAGTTTGAGTCTCTGGATGAAAACCAATGAAATCTCTTAACCTTTTTAACAGCTGGAAGTTCAGAGTAAGATGGAGGTCCAGGCCAAATTTTGTCACTGGGAGTTCCAAGTTCCTGAAAAAAAAAAAAGATAACAGGGAGCTTAAGAAAAGGCGTTTTTGAGCGACGCACGTCAACATTAAGTGATGCCTTTTCTTTTTTATTATGCGTTGACGCTAGGAAATTTGTATTGCAAAGTGGCTTGACTCTAATAGCGACGATTTACCCGAAACACAGCTGGTTATGAAGAATCAGCCGGGGGATTTGAGCCAATCAGAAGCGGAGAAACATTTTGAATAAATAATAAACAAATTTTCATCTATGCAATGCTAATACAAAGTCTTACTTTAAATATTCTGTTGATCTGATCTATCTCCGACTTGCCCGGGAAAAGTGGCTTCATCGTCAACAACTCCGCAAATATACAACCAACAGACCACAGATCAATGGGAGTTGAGTATTCCTATAACAACAAAGAATTTTGTAATCACTAAACAGTGAATAATCATAGGACAGCGATATATGATTTGCTGTGCAGATGAACAGGGTGTCCAACCCAAACTGACGCCTTCAGTGGACTGGGGCAACCTCTGTTGGATTACCAGGGTGGGGAGTACACATACATGAAGTCCTCCACATACTTGTAACATTGTTGGGTGAATCTTGTATTCAGTGAGTTCCAATACCAGCAGGCTTCTAGCCAGACATTGTTTACTGGCCGTCAAAAAGGCATGTTTTCCCATAAAATCATAAGAGATTACCGTAAGTGAATTTTCCTTGCATGTCTAGAATACCATTAAGTTCTACCATTTGGGTGTAACTTTTTACTTTTGACTACCCGGAGTTGTATTTTATTTTAACTAAGAAGAATGGTGGCAAATATAACTTGTTGGAATAATATTGTGATTCACGATCTAAGGTTGGAGCTAAAGAGAAAGCATTTTGTGTCAACTTGAACTGTAGTACGCATGGATGGAATTTTTTTTTCGTCGGGGGGTGGGGGCGGGGGGAGGGAGATTGAGAAGGCCACATCTCTCTTCCATTTATATGACATTGTGTTAAAAATGTAAAAACTTCTAAGTAAGATCAGTTTTTCAAAAGCCTTTATTTCTGGACAGACATGCACTCAGAGTTCTGTAAACAACAAATATTCTTCCTAAAATTAATAGTATATTTATTTATCATATTATTCCTCCAGCCTGAATGGGCTCTGAGTCAATAGGGCTATTGACCCAGAGGCCATGAGGGCGAGAGGAATAATTTTTTATTGTTTTAGTAAAATCCAACTAGTCGGTCAAAAATATCGAGACAAAACAACTTCAGCTAGCAAAACGTGATTCAGCTGCCATTGTTTTGGTTTTCAAAGCCGGCGCTTTTCGCTACTAGTGGGGTATAACATATAGCGTAGTAGTAGCTCAACCAATCAGAATGCAGCATTGATAACAGAACACACCCTGGATTTTGCTAAATAATAAAAGCTGGCCTTCTCTACCTCAATAATTAAAAAGAGGACAATTTATTATTGTCTGGATCTGCACCTGGAATATGAAGAAGAATTTAGAGGCTTCTTCAAAAGAAATAGGCAATGTTGTCTATGACTAAATTATACAGTACAATGTACCTTGGTGCCAAGCAGTAATTCAGGTGCCCTGTACCACAGTGTCACAACGATAGGTGTATAGCTCTTAAGAGGAGAGCCATACTCTCTTGCCAGTCCAAAATCACCAACCTGTCATCAAATTAATTCCAAAGGAACAATAAGTGTTTTTGTTAAGTCAAGTTTCAAGCTTATTGAACTCTACTGAAAATAATAATAATAACAATGATAATGATAATAATTAAAACAAAGTAGTGCACTGCTTATAAAGGAAGTGCACTTAACAGCTTTAGCAATGTTTCTACGGACACAGCCTTGTCTCCTTCAGGAGTTAGGTATTATGGACAACTTGCGACCAAAGTAGAGTTCTTTTTTATACACTTATTATTTCATTAATCAAACGAACCTTAAGAATTCCCTTGTTGCTGAGGAGTAAGTTAGAGGCTTTGAGATCCCGGTGAAGAATCCAGTTGTCATGGAGATGCACAACGGCTCTTAGAAGTTGAATCATCAATGTCTTGACTTCACCTAGATAACAATAAAAATTAAAATGAGAGATGAACATGGGAACCTATCGGTAGTCAAGCTCTTTAACATTTAATAATTCTTTTAAAACACTGAGAAAGTTCATGGATGTCAGTCTGTAACACTATGCAAACAATAACTGCTAGAGGAGTAAACTGAGAGATCAACATTGGAACCTGTCAGTAGTCAAGCTCTTTAACATTTAATAATTCTTTTAAAACACTGAGAAAGTTCATGGATGTCTCTGTAACACTATGCAACCAATTATTGCTAGAGAATTAAACTGTTCTTTTATGGACGGTCAAAAATTTTGGTACTCAATTAACTGCGACCCACCCAGAAGGCAGGCTTTTAACAGATATACTATTCCACATGCTACGTAGATAATCAAAGGGTTTCCAAGAAAATGGACACTTGTGACCGTTTCAGTATTGTTGTTCTAGGAATGCTCACTCACCAATTCTAAAGCCTTGTGTCATGTGTTCCATAAGAACCTTCAGGTCATGCTCAACATAGTCCATAACAATGTATATTTTGTCCATATTGCTGCCCACCACTATTTCCTGCAGAAGCAAGACATGATGAGAATATCATTTTATTTCAAATTACGGAAGCAGTATATTTGCCACCACATTAAACTTTGCAAACTTGTGCCACACCTCACAAAAGTAATGAAACAGAAAATGTACACTGCAAACATACAACAATGCCTGCAATTTCTACAATATGTTTATCAGCAAACACAAGCAGCCTCCTATACGGCTGTTCCAAGTCTTGTCGCACAATTCTTGCTCAAAGATGCCGCTAGTCACATTTGAACAAGACTGCTTTCCAAGTTTAACCATTATTACAGTTCCATTTTTTCAGAAGTGTCTCCAACCAATTATTATTATCCTTTTAAATGCCATCTAATCACAACCTGCATTTTACATTGTGCCATCTTAATATTGGTGTCTCGTTGTATCCTATGAAGCTGTTATTTGTCACGCCACGGAAATTTTTTTCTTTTTTAATTGTCACAAGCATCACTCCCAATTTGCTGATAGATGATTGTTCACTTCAGTAAATTGATGAAACAATGGCAAAGGAATGTAGTTTGCTTGACCTCAACCATTCCTTTGGGGAGGAACATCATGTGATGAGAAAAAGGACAGCTGCTTAGGGGAACAATTCCCGGATAAAGTGTTATTGTTAGACTAAAAAACAGAAGTACAATTACACTTGAAACTGAAAAAATGACAAATCACAATAGCATTAACAGGGCACTTACTCTAACAGTCACAATGTTAGGATGCTGTGCTTTCAGAAGGGTATTGATTTCACGCAAAGACGTAATAGGAAATCCTTCCTTTTCTCTTTCCATCTTTAGTTTCTTCAATGCAACTATATCACCTTGAAATAAAACAAATTTGAGAATAGTGTACATTGTTGCACCAATACAAGAAGCCCCTCAGGACAAGACAATAGGGAGCTTTAGCAACACAACAGCAACTAGGACATCAAAAAAACAATAGGTTTATTACTCAAAACAACACGCCTTTTTGCACATTTCTTTACCGTCCTTGCACGACTACGACGTGAAAATGCCCAATTGTAAGTTTTATGGAGGATGTAAACAAGCGACTACGAATCTCTTTTTCTCTCTCTAAACTTGAGAGCGGTCCTCAAGAAATCAACTCCAGGGAAATTCGCCTACACTTGCCATTTTCAGCAAACTGGAATAAACGCAGCAAAGATTGAAAAAACGGGAATTCATTTCATTTCACTTTCATCCTTATTCTCAATGAGTTCAATTAGTTAATGCAATCCACTACATGTACATATACCTCGCCACCAACAATCATAAATCACCCAATTACAACAGGAATGAAGGAAAATTAATAACCCAACCTGTTCTTTTATCCTTTGCTCTGTAGACCACCCCATACGTTCCCTCTTCAATTCTGTTCAGCCACTGAAACTCCTCAACATTTCTGCAGCCACGAACAGCAGGATAATAAGGTGGAAGTTTGGCCTCTTCTTTCTTCTCCTCCTCACCATCAGAAAGCTGATCCTGTTTCATTTCTGCATCTGAATGGGGTGCAACAGCCTCACCTTCATCACTGCTACCCTCGCTGTCAATGTCCACAATTTCATTGGAGAACTGCCGCCTCTCACGTTCAGTCAGGATCACTGATGGCCCTTCATCTTTCTTTGATTTGCTAGAGGACACATCATTACTGCCTCTGTTGTCTTTATCAACTTTCTCTGAAGTGGCTTTCTTCCTACTTTCACCGCGTTCTTTCCGATCTTTACCTTTAGATGCAGTTCTAGATGCTTCCTCGGGAGATTTGGTCTTGCCTGAATCTTTTCTTGAACTCTTCCTTCGTTTATCCACATCCACTTCAGAATATTTCTCTCTTGAACCTGTTCTGTCTAATTTCATTTTAGATACATCCTTAGCATTACCACTTGACTTGTGTTTATCACGACTTCTGTCCTCAGAACTGCTTTTCTCATAGGACCTACTTTTACTGTCGTCATTCCGATGACTTCTTTCTCTATGACTTTCATACTTCAAGTCCTTCTCCTTATCAGAAACTTTCCTCCCTGTATAACCCCTTGTATGTAGTGACTCCTGCTCCCTTCTCCTGTATGAACTTTCATCACGGCGATGATGGCGCTCTGTCTTAGTTTTCTGCTTGTATTTGTCATCAGTTGGTCTTTGTCGCTTAAGCTGCTGCAACTCTGAATGGAGATCCTCTATTTCAATCTCACCCTCTTTGTCTTTTTCAGCCGCTTTCTCAGTCTTTGGTGCAGATCTCGTTTCCTTTTCCTCTTCTTCACTTTCTTCTGATGTTTCACTATCACCTTCCTCATCACTTTCTTCTTCACTGCTTTCTTCCTCCTCACTTGAACTTTCCTTATTGGTCTTTGCAGTAACCTTTTGCCCAACATCCTTGCTTTCACTTGACTTAACGCTTGCTGCCTTCTGCTCTTTGATCCTGCTGCTGCTCTCCTTCTTTTCTTCCACCTCTCCATCATCATTGTCATCGTCATCATCATCATCATCATCATCATCACTACTGCTATCATCACTTTCAGACTCTGATTCACTGCTCACTTTCTTCTCATCGGCTACTTCCTTTGTTTCTTTTTGTACCCTCTTGGTGGCAGCCGCTGTTTCTGTGTCCTCATCACTCTCTTCCTCACTACTACTGTCTTCTTCACTTGACTCTTCATTTGACTTTGTTGTCACCATGGAACCTACAAACCAGTGAACAAAACCACAATATTAACCCTTTAAGTCCCAATAGTGACCAACAGCAATTTTCTCCTAACGACATCCATACATTATCATCAGATGAGGTTATGAGAATTAATTAAATGATCACCTAAGAGAAAATACTTCGATCTTTTATCAAATTCTCTCAACTCATTCTTTAAGGAAATGTATAGAGATCAGTTTGGAGAATTTGTATGTGGATATTGGGGCTTAAAGGGTTAAGATAACTCCATATGAATCAACATTCTCATGTTGCCAATAGGCCACTTGCACTAAGAGGCCACGTGATCAATGCTTTAAACAGTGAGTTGGAATCTTGCTGACAGAGCATATAAAAATTATCTTACACCCAAAATTTGAGAGGAAATGCATTTAAGGGAAATATTCTATGTCACTTTGATTTTTCAGCAGAGAAGTATGATTTGTATTGGCCGCCATGTTGAAGGGCATACTCTTGCCCTCCCACATGGCTGCCAAAACTCTTTTTTGTTTATATCTTGTTAAACGTTTGATAGTTATGTTCAAATGTGCTGTAAACATTATCACATCATCTTTTCAACATTTTCCTTGAAGTTTAAGAGCAAAATTTGTGTTCAGATAGATGCAATTTATAATTTTAAAAATCACATTTTGGTCACGTGACCAGCTACGAGCTTACTCATTTTAAGAAAATGGTGTGGGTTTGATAAACCAAATCACTACTATTTTGTTTAAGATATGACCTACTAATTGTTTTTCGAAAGCAAAATCATATAACTTTCATTTTCATAAAAACAATGTCACATGACCTCTTAGTGCAAATGGCCTAATATACACCTTGTTGATACCCAAGTTGCATAAGCATTATCTTCAATTCCTCTTGAAGTGACTGTTAAATCCAGGAGAAATTGAAAAATTATTATTAAGTAAAATTATGGGTAAGAGGGGAGGGGAGTAGTGGGTGCAAAACAAGGCAAGATGCTGCAAATGATGAATGTGGAAATGACTTTCACATGTCCAACCTAAGCATTTTAAAAACAAAACAAAAAAAAGTAGGTTTGACCAGGATTCAAACCTGACCATTTCATCTGAGTTTATAAAACCACTTTGAGGGCATACATGTATCATTTATTTTATTGCAAGTTCACACAATCACATAATATACCTGGTTGCAAGATTGCATAATTTTTATATAATTACCTTTATCCTTCCTTGCTTGTTCTGATGGTCTGGAAGCTTTTAAATCAGAATCAGGGTGTTTTGGAGAGGAATACTTTATCTTCTGATCACGTTTCACATCCTCAGGATCTGAGGGATCACTGATGTTGTCTTTTTCTCTTTGCCTGTCATCAGTATCAGCAGTTCTTGAAGAAGAATGCTTTCTTCTCTTCTCAGCCCTTTTGTTCTCTGAATCTGACTGCTCACTGAGAGAATCTCTTATGACACCAACCTCTTCAGTGTCATGGCTTTTTGATGAAGAATGTCTTCTCCGTTTTTCAACTTTTTTACTCTCAGAGTCCGAAAGATCACTAACAATCTCTCCTTCTTCTTCCTCTGTTGTTTTCCGGCCTTGTCTGATGCGAAGTCCTGCTGGTTCATCATCTTGAGACATCTGCCCTTTGGCCTTTATTGGAGTACCATTTGTAGATGATGCTGTGAATGAAAAAATCATTAAACTCACTCTGTTCAGCAACTTGAATTAATTTTAGTTTGGCACGGCAATTAAATTAGACAGGATCTGCCGAGCTACACAGCAATGGCACGGCTCGGTTTCAAATGTCGCGCTATTGCCATGTCAAACTCACTTCATAAATTATGAAAATGTATATGTTTAAGTGTTTTGATTCTCCTGCGCCTGACTGCGATGTTTTTCTTCTTTTGAGTTTGGAGTGACTGAATTACATTTGACGTTTGAAACCACTCCCGTGCTATTGCCGTGCAACTGCCAGGTCAAATTAATTTGAGTACAACACGGCAGTAGTGCAACGTTTGAAAAGGGCCTCAGTCTGACGATGACTACTGCACAGATTTGTCGAAACATAAGTCACTGTCTACAACAGTCCTACTGCGGACTACACCCACTCGGGACACCCACCTGCACAATCATGTTCTACTTATCACATTTTCCACACATTTCTAATTACTTACTTGGAGACAAGCTTTGCGGTTCAGGACTCATCTGATAAATAATTTCACTTCCTCCTTCCTGAGTTGGAGAACCATGTTTCGAAGACGTTCTCGATTCTCGCCTTCCACCTGAAGCCGATGGACTAGCAGTTCTCGAATTTCCTTGTGATGCTCCCCCTTCGCCTTCATCTTCCTTTTCTATCCGTCTACGTTTTTCTTGTAAAATTTCATCCACGGTTTTTATTTTAAGATCTTCCGTTCTATCGTGATCATCTGGAGATTCGTCTGGTTCAGTGCCTTCGATTTCGGAATCTGCGGGCCTCTTTCGGTTTAAGTTGTGCGGGCTTGAAGACATAGCATTGAAAAAATGTTCTACTAGCACAATATGGTTAAATATCTACCCAGAAAGTTCAACTCAAACGGTATTTAACGTAGAATTCACGATCCAAAATTCTAAAACCTTTTCAAGCCGCCATGATGTTCCACGATCAATCCCATGTGTCCTTTCGGGCACTATTGAGCGGTCGCTAAGAACTAAGGGCTATAGTTATGCAAAATGCCAGCAAGTCCATAGCGACAAACCGTTAACTGCTACCGTACCTTCAGTTGTAGACCTGGATCAATATAGCCTGCGTAGCAAGCGTTTCCGTTTGGTTTCGGAGCAAAGAAAGACCGAGGAACAGGATTCTCGGTTTTGGCCGCGCGAGAAATAAAACAAGAACCCTTTTACTTGCGCCTTTTTTCGCGCGGTTCCCTGACTCTCGTTCCTCCTTCTTTGTTCCCGGGGGCGGGGAGGGCAAACCGCACGGAAACGCTTGCTATGCAGGCTAGGATCAATACCATAATAACTTGTAGAAAATCATAAAACGGCAAACTGATCCTTATGGTAAGGCGATGAAGAAGTAAACAAAAGAATAAAACAAAAAAATATATATTTAAACAAATTTGCCCAATATTTCGGTTTGACAGTACCCTGGGTGCCAGAGACTTTTCTATCGCGGTTTCCGGTTTTTGTCAAGTCTTTATAGTGACCCGGCTTCGCTGCTCGTGGCTTCGGCCTACGGTCGAAGATGTGTCGGCCTTCGGCCGACACACCGAAAATTCCCGCCGCACGCGAGAAAAACCTCTGGTACCCAGGGTAGTTTGACAGCAATCCTTCTTCAGGGGCTAAAAGAAAAAGAAGATAAAACTGAAACTTCGTTTAATACAAATCAGCGTTTGACAATATGAAAAAAAAACAAAACAAAAAAAACCCTGAAAACAATAGCCTGTTGTTGGTGTAGGAGACTAGATGGTGTCGTACTAACGAACTTCGTCACATCTATTTTTTCCAAGATGAGATAATATGTTCCCTTTGTGTATTAAATGAGCCTCCCTAGCCTTTCCCACTGCGTCACTGTTGCTGGGTATGAGCTCAAGTGTAGCCTGCGAGCAAGCTCTCCTATTTGGGCGAGCGAAGCGAGTCTCGCGAGAACGGGCGAGCGAGCGGCGAAGCAGGCTAGCTCAAGAAGTGGGATTAGAAGAACGTCGTTGATTTAATGTCCAGCTTAATAGACTTGGAGAACACCGCCGATCCATTTCGAGCCACCAGTAACTCAGAGATCCCACTCCTGTCTCCCCTCACTTCAGTCAAGCTGGACATTAAAAAAAAAACAACGTTCTCCTAAGGTTTTATTCTTTTCTTGACTTCTTCTTCATCGCTTTGCCGTAAGGATCAGGTTGCCGTTTTATGATCTTCTACAATGCATGCAAAACCCATGACAAACTCTGTCCTTTCGAAGAATGTTTATATATTGAGAAAGGGAAGTGGTTTTATTCACTTTATTTGATAAGCTTGTGCAAAGGGTCGAAGACTTAAAACGATTTGGGAACAGCTGCATCGGGAAGAAGGGAAGTAGAAGCACTTCAAACTGAATACCTGAGGAAGGAGGATTGGCCGAAAATCACCATTTCATAATCAGTGACGCCTATTTCCCTGTCGTAAACGGTCTTTGTCATTTTCAACGGTCGATACCACAATTAGTAACCAAGCCTTTAGTCACGATAGATGTAATATATTCCAAGTTACAAAAAGGCAAAAAATACGTTTTCGAAGTGTGTTAGAAAGAACGACGTTGTAGCCCAAGTTGAATTTTCGTTGAAATTTACGAAAAGGGCCAGGGTCACCTGTTATTGATGTAACAGTTAAGAAACCTTTGTTAGTATATTTACTAAAATTTTTCGGAACTTTGGCGGGTCGGTAGGATATGAAGAGTCCTAGTTCGAGGCCTAGTTTGACCCAAGGTTGTGATTTTCTTTCTTTAATAGTAGAAACACTCTCAATAACACGTCAAAAAATGGCAGCGACCGTTTACGAAAGGGACAATTGCAACGGCGACGGCACACGAGAAAGGCAGAACGCAGGCGCAACAGGCTTACAACTTGAAAGTCAGTGCCTAATTTCACGTTTTGTCGAGAACGGGAACAGAAGACAACAACTTTCTTTTTCTTTTCATGAACTAAAGTCCTTAAGAATCAACGAGATAGGATAAGCATTATTTAAGTGACGTTTTTGTAGCCGTCGCCGTCGTCGGATCTTAAGCTTCCTATCAACAGTATGGCGAGAGACATTAGACCGGTCCTCCCTGTAAATAGACTAAGTTCTTTAATTATAATACAAAAAACATTTATTCAAGCAAAGCGCTCATCAAAGTGACCTTTATTCTTTGTCTTCTCTTTTAAAAAGATGTCTATAACATACTGCACTTTATCAGTCATAACTTAAATATTTAATATAGTGTTTAATAAATACATTTCACTTAAGGACGAGCTACAGAAATTGAGGACAGCCGTTGTTTACCAAGGCCGCGATCCGAACCACTGAAAATTTGGCTAATCTTACATTAAAAATACTGTCGAGAAGGTGTAAACATCAGACTATAGAAACCTTCAGATATCCATGCAGTTGTAAACACACCTTAAAGTAACTTGGTCACAGATCTCTAGTCTAAAGAGATGGTCGAACACGACAGACGGGTTTATCGACTACTAGATTAAGGGGGTTGCGCTCTTCTCGCGTTCTGCGCTTACCAATTATCGAAAAGACAAAGAAAACAACGTTTACGTACAGGCCAATTTTCACGTGAAATGATTACCTTAAGCCATAGTGCAAAATAGACTTTAAACAGTAAACACTAGGCTCAGTTGCTGAGTGGAATATTTAAAGTCGTTGAGGTGTGACATAAGCGCACTGTTTTCATTGTGTAGTTCATAAAATGGCCTGACTCAGATGGCTTTGAGTTTCTTGACAAAACATCGTCTAAACGTGGTTAAAACAACATTAAAACGGCCGTAAATCGAATTCGTTGTACGGAGTATCTACACTTTTAAATTACTTCTTTTGGCCGTGAAAAGTTTCGTTGTTTCATGTTTTATCTTGCTTTGAATTATTTTAATTACATTTATCACGATATTTAAGTCCCATACCTGAGCTGAAAGACTTCAATACTACACACAAAACAGTTTCTTAGTAGCTTTCCGAGTTAAGTTTTTCTATGCGGAGTCTTATAAAAAATATCTTTAAAGTTTCATTTAAAGCTGTACAAGTTCTTTTAAAACACTTTAGATGTGACACCTGTGTTAATTATCATTTATTGTTTATATAACAGTTCCAATTACGGTCAAACCTCACTTCTCATTACTTCTCAAATATAGTCAGTTCACTTGGTCCAGAGCATAACGAGCTTCATACATATCTTACCTCAAAAAGAACTACCGTAAAATTCCGAAAATAAGCCCCTACAAACATAAGCTCCCCAAACCGGTAACGCAAAAATCCCTCCGTTAAATCGCCCCTCCAAATATAAGCCCCCCGGTTGTTGTACTCGAAAAATTGCCCTCAAATACAAAGTAAAACGGTAAATTTTCTTCCAACTATAAGGCTAGCCCAATCGATTTTGAAACGCAAATTTCCCTCCGTAGATAAGCCCCTCCGAGTATAAGCCCGTAAAAATATAAGCCCCTCAAAAAGGGCTTTTGAAAAATAAAAGCCCTGGGGCTTATTTTCGGAATTTTACGGTACTCTAAAAGCACCTCCCGCACTTGGTTTCCCCTTGATGTCCGTAATAAGGAGGTTTGACCGTGGTGGAACACACACAACAATCTGCACTACTCGAAGAACGCAATTACATTGCACGTGGTACAGTATCTTAACGCATGCGTATAAAGCTTAAATGACAGCGTGTTCAGTTTGAAGCTGAGTGTTGCTAAGTTACCAGTTACAATTCAGTGTGCGCCGGATCGGTTGCCATGGCATCCAGTTTAGATGAAGGCATAGTTCGTTTCATGATTTCTTTATCCTCATCCCACTCCTTCTCGTAATAAATTCCTGCAGCACAAAAAATACAAATTTACAAGTTGTATACAGGACTCGAGCAACGTTACTTATTATTATTTTCAACAACAGCTCAGAGGTACATTAACCAAGGCCGCCAACTTGAAAGCAATTGAAAACCAAGGGAGGAGGGGCGGGGTAAAAAAGAAAACCTCCACCCCCCTCCTCTATTTTGGCACGTCAACCTCTCCCTTGGAATCATTGTTAAACTCTTCGCAACTCTCTCAGTTTCAACTTACTAACTGCAAAATACGTCAAATACGCCTGCTGTGAAGGCTAGAGCACCTTTAACAAACAGGAGAATGCCCGTCTACGGGATTTGTCCGCAAAGTTCTTAAGTAAACCTGGGGGCAGCGTGGAAGATTTATATAGCAATCGCAAATGGGTCTGTGTAGTAAGGTTTATACAGGCGATATTTCGCGCTATTTTTGCTGCGATGTCATGAAGATTTTCCGGCGACTAAGTGCACGACATCCTAGTCTGTCTACAGCAGGGGTAAATTCAGAAAATTCAGAAAGGGGTGATCTGGACACTTGTCAGCTAAAAAGGTACCTTTTATTTTACTGAGGAATCTTTCAAAATAGAAAATATCACAGCACAGCCCCATGGGCAGTGCTTATTCGCCATGGTACACAATTCCTTTCCGTCGCGCAATGTTCCTTTAACGAACGACTGCATTCTAGCCAGCCTGTAGCCGAAGTAAGACACACTTCTTTTTTTCTATCACACACGCTTCCCCGAATAAGTGCCCGCCCCTGTGCCATAATATCAAACAAGCGCACATCTCGAATCAGCACCCTCCTCCCCTACTATCTCCCTAAATTTTTGAATAATAGGGATACAAGACGAATGCGACGTTCTGTATACCATTGACGAGATTGATCTCAAGAATGATGAGATACTCTATAATTTATATACATGCCATACCGATACATCTGTGTGTAAAACCAACCAGTGTTGTCGATAAGCACGCCCGTTTTCAGTCGAAATATGAAAAACGGCCGGGCGCTAATTCAAAGAAATGTGGTTCACTGACCTGATTTGTCATCATCTTTCTTCTTCAAGTACAGCTTCAAGACATTATCAAGTTGTTCCTTTAGTTCGTCTTCTGTTACAAACTCAGGATTATTTGGGTGAAGCATGTTAAAAAGTTCCCGAGCAACCTTAGCCGAGCCACCAAAAGCCTGCGGATAAACGGTCATATAATACTGTATTTCAGAAATTGGTTTTAACGTTCACTGTACTCTTTGGGTGAATTTATTGGCAACATGTTTTCGGAACAAAATTGGATCAAAAACCCTACCCAAGGGGTGGCAAACACCTATGTAACTTATTTAAAAAATACCCTGCCTGCCACCGAGTCTCGACTCGTTCGTAATAGAGAGCTTTAGATTCTAAGACGAGTAGGACAACGAGCACGAGATTTTCTCAATACTAAGTGGTGCACGCGCGTGAACCAGCGTCATTTTGGCGGGAAAACGTGGTAGCCGTCGTCACTCGAGTTTTAGGGAGAATGTAGTAGTGGCGGGAACAAGTTATCAAATGTTAGAAGTTTTACCATTTTGCGATCGGGAGAGGGTGTAACCTCCTTCACTAAAGGTAACAGTGCTAACTTTTCTAGTGAAAAATGGTAAAATAAAGGTTTCCGGGGAGTCTATATTTTGAGAATACGCGAAAAAAGTTTGAGTCAAATCTCGTACTCGTAGTCGTTCTCGTCCTTGAATCTAAAGGTCTCTATTAAGATAGCAACGACGATGGATTAGCAAAAAAACAACTTTGCACTGCACATCACGTTTTTTGGAGCATTTCTTTGCCAAAGCTGCACGAGTACTACGTGAAAGTGCCTAATTTTACGTTTTGTGGAGGACCCCTTGAACACAAGACAACCACTTTCAACCACCAGGCACGAAAGATTGCATGAATTAATGGGGCGCGCGTACTGTCCCTAGATGGAAGATGTCCAGTCTATTTGGTCGATATAGAGACAACTCGCCCCCCTCCCTACTTGACAATTAATTCCAGACTATCGGCGCACGATCTTTAGACAACTAGCCTAGATTAGCCCGCGTAGCCGGCGCCAGGTATTTTTTTTTGCAGGCTGCGCGGGGGGAACGCGCCTGGCCTGCCTCGATTAGCCCTAACACTTATATCTGGCCACTGCAGGCATGAAATTTCTCTTACTTCGTAATGCTTAATCAAGTTTTCCAGAGTAAGCTTTCCACTTCCATCCTTCATCGCTCTCTTAAAGACTGACCTGAAAAGGTTTTGTTAAGAAAAAAAAGAACTTCATAAACATCACAGCCCATTAGCTCAAAGAGTAGTAAGCACCAAGCAAGGAATTTTAGTAAATGTTAGTATTTTACAAAGCGGCTCAATAGAATTATTGTTAATATGTTCTTGATTTTTCTAACATTCAATTCTGTATGTAACAGCGAACATTAGGGAGTTTGAGCTTCACGTATACGGCAAACGGCGAACGTCAGATTCAAGTTGAGAATTTCTCAAAATAGAAAATGAGCAGTTCCAAAACAAAACAGCTCCAAACAAAACTTATGGATAAAAAACTGTGTAAACCTAATAATTAAGGTGTAGAAATAATAAACAGTAAACGACAATTATAGGGGAAACTTGTTCACGTGGTACAAATTCGAGTTTGCCGTTTGACGTAATCGTGATGCTTAACCTCTCTATTGTCAGATGATGATGCGGCTAGAAGTATTGCAAGTCTCCCCAGGATGGGTGGCTAGTCCATCACAAGGATATCCCTAATAGTATGTCCCCACTACCCATGCATTTGTACAGCAAGCTGGAAGAGGAAAGTGTGGAGCTGCAGCAACGGGATCAATTTAGGTTTCAGGGAAACTTCCCACCTACCCCTCCCCTAAGCTAACATTAACACTTGATTCTCCCTTAGGGCAAAATGACGGCTCAAGGGAGGGGTAGGTGGGCAGTTTCTCAGAAACCTAAATTGACCGAGCAACGTTTCTTATCTAAGGAAACAAGTTACTTGATGGCTATAAAGCCTTGAACCCGTATCTACAGACACGAAGTTGGAAAGAAGAATGGAAGAAGAATGAATATTGAACCATAAATGGTATCTCTTACCTTACAGAATCAATTTCAAACAATGCAAACTCATATTCCTCAGTGTTAGCTGGATCACCATCAACCTCATTTGCTATTTGTTTGAGCTGTTCAAACGTCATTCCTTGAATGTCTTCTTTAGATGCATAACCTTTGTTGTCCACGTCTATTATTTTAAGCACCTTTAAAATATCAATGAGTAAAAACTGTCAAATATAAACATTTCCAAGACTTTTTCACGGATCAAGACTTTGTGTGAACTCTGTAACAACTTACATTTTCTGCCATGATTCTCCTTGCATCTTCATGTTCTTCCATAACTTCAGTCTACAAAAGATGACATAAACTCTGAACACCGAACACCAAAATAAAATGTCATTTAGGCCATGTCCACACCTATCCAGAAATTTTTGAAACCAGAGATTTTCTCCAACCGTTTTCAAAAATATACGTGTCCACACCTAGGATATTCGAATCGTCTTCGCCCGTCCATATGGAAATGCTAAACAATGGAAATAAGATAGTACCCCTCACAGAGCATGGGTAATATTATAGTAGTAAAAATTAATGATGTATGATGTCATTGTTTTCGAAAACTTCTGCTTTTGTCCATCTACACAAAACGAGAAGCCTGCGTTTTCAAAAATCTTTGCTTTAGAGAACGGTTTTGAAAAGATATGTCTTCGGTGACTGTTTTTACCAAACAGGTTAGCCAAACTGGAGAAAAAAATTTCCACCGTCAAACAAAAATGGTTACGTGTGGAAAGGGCCTTTTAAACTTCAACAATAATCTCAATAACTCATTGTGTACTTTGATAAAGAACACTAAGCGAATATCCATTGACATTTATGGAAAGAACATCTTAAAATTAGGAAAATTATGTGAAAAGCAAGTGAGGATATTGTCCCACAAAGTTGCAAGATTTTGCAGACGTTTGTATAATGGGGGAAACAAACTTGCCCCCCACAATACAAACAAAAGTCATAAGTAAAATTCAGCAACTTAACAAAGCTATATCTTTACTAGTTTCCACCAAATTACTGTCAGACATGTTTGACAACTTTACTGATTTTAACCCCTTAAGCCGAATATCCAGGCAAATACAGATTCTCCAGACTGACTCCCATACATTTCCTTACTGCACTTTTCACAAACATGCGAACTCTAAAGTTCAAAAGGCGCTTTCACAATTGCGTTTTTGGCTGCCGGCAATCATAATTACGATCACAAGAAACGAACCTTGAAACACAGAAACACACAAAACAGATCGAAATCAACCAATCACAAATTACAAACCATGACCTTTTGAACCCGTTAAAGTAAAGTTTTGTTTCCTAAGAGGTCCGTTAAGATGATTGACGGCAGCAAAAAATGCAATCGTCAGTTGGCTTTTGAACTTCAGAATTTGCATGTTTGTGAAAAGCGAAGTAATGAATTGGTTAAGAGAATATGTTTGTATATCAAAGCTTTTCCCATCAAGTGATTTTTTTATTAATCCTCACAACATTTTCCCTTGATTATGTATTGATTTTGTTGGGAGAAAATTGACTTTGGTCACTCTTGGGACTTATAAGGGTTAAGGCATTCATTGCAGTTGTGTTGACGGACTTTTGCTAGGTGGTCCCAGTCAAAAAAACATGGAAGAGTATATCTAATTAGAGTCACTGCACATACATTTGTACAGTTCTAGTATCATTATTTGTTATCATCTTACCTCAGTAAGCATCTTAAAAATGAGATCAACATCCATACGTTTATCATCAGCATATTCCATCAAAGAGAGATACTCCTCTCTAAAGCAAAAGATCAGTAAAATAAATTTATCATGTCATTAATCCTTACAGGTTTCACAAAAAAACTTGGCATGCAAATCAACTTTACTCAGTCACGGTAATATTAATATGCTTCACTACACTGTACTATTAGCCGACGGGCAAGCTCTCCAGCTTGCAACTATGTCTCTGGAATTTGAATTCTGCCTCCATTTCCCCTGTGGCTCCCTGTCGACTAAGCTGTTAGATTTCTGCCAATCAGCGCAAAGCAGAAATGAGGGCGAATGAAAACAAACATTGAAAAAAACATGTAAGCATACACCAAGGGTAATGACATCATTACTAATGTAGTCTCCTCCAATCAGCATTTTGCATCGACTTTTTTTATGCAGATTTTCAAATTTCAGAGACATAGTTGCAAGCTCTCCTTCCTCTTCCTGCCCTGAGGCTAGCTTAGGCAAACCAAAATCCTGTCAGCTACTACTGTCAAATATCCGTAAATCAAAGGGACTCAATTTTTGCACAAAAACTATCATCACTATCAATTTACTGATACATTTATCATTGGTTTCTTTAATGAGCAACTATTCTCTTAGGAAGGAGAGCTGGTTGACAAAACAAACAAAAGCTACATGGAAGAGATGAGTTGAGGCGCCATACTTCAATTCAAATGGATCAGTATTGCCCATTGTCTGTGGACCATGCCCAGGATATGTCCAGACCATGTTGACATCTGACAAAGGAGTATAATCCAGCTTGGCACCTTCACATCCTGCTGGATCAAACTCTGTCAGCCGTGAGAACAGAACAGACACTGCCATGTTCTTAGAGCCATAAGATCGCACTTGATGCCAGTAACCTGTAAACAGACACAACAACAATATTTTCTACGATTATGGGATTCAATATTTTTGTACTTGGCCTAATTTTCATTTTCCTTTGCTTTAATGTCCTGTACATTGTAAATGTACTGTGTATGATAACATTGTAAGGTAGCACCAGGAAAAAACCAAAATTTAACCACAACTGATCCCAGCGTGTGTATCAGGATGTTTTAAAAGAACATGATTTTTGCAGCACATCCAGATATAAGGAGGAGAGAGGGTGTCATATAAGATGTAGGGGGATTGAAAGAACTTGGCATGTACCTTAAAATACCCAGAACAGTGACAAGGAGCTACTAACATACAATATATGCAAAGTTGAGAAGGTACAATGTAGGAGTTCCCATCTCTATAACAATCTGGCTTGACACCAACAGTAGTTGTTGTACTGTTCCAGTAGAGGTTGGTCCAGTGTGAATTTTTAATTAATAAACATTATGCAGAAAGTATTGAAGTGTAGCTGGGTTTGTATTATGCTTAATAGTACTGGCAAAAGATAGAGGGTCAGACAGTATGAAGACAAACACTTCCACGACATGGCTTGAAAGTCTCTTCACCCCCTCTCTCATTCATCTGTGTAGCAAGAGTTTATATGCAAGTTTTACAATAAAGTGGGGATGAGAGCAAAAAGGGCGAATGAAGGTGGCGGGGGGAGGAGAGAAGGAAACACTTGCCAACAAGTCCCACAATTCTAAAAGCTGTGTTTGCCCACAAACGTAGCTCGTAGCTTTTGGTTGGTGCGGTGCTTGTAAAGTGTTGATTAATAATGAGTGACCAAGACTTAAACCAAACCAGGTATGGTTTTTTATGTGCGTCACAGATGAAAAATGCTTTGGACTGTCCATGCAAAGGTTTATCAGATCTGATCTGCAGGCCTCGCTAGCATTGTCATTATTTCAACCCTTTAAATTAAAATGATATATTGGAGATCGAGCAGTGGAGACCAGTGAAGCCTACTGTATTTGGAATGACAACGTGCAGATCTGACTGAAAAATTGGACTGTTTGTTAGAGATACATTTTCACACAAAACTATAAAAAAAACAAATGAACAAATACTACTACTTACTGTAAGGCAAATAAAGGCAGTCTCCAGGAGTCATGTTAGCATGTTGCCACCTTACATCTTTAAATTTTGGATACTTGATTAGATTCACACTTTCTACATCCAGTGTTGCAAACCCTCCATATCCTCTGTCTCCATCTGCAACAGGTATCTGTAAATTGAAATATATAAAATGAATCATATTTTGAACTGCAGATAAAGATATAAAAGTGAACATAATCTTCCCAGTAGAATGAACAACCTAAGCAGGTGAAAAAGAACTTGAAAAAATTCAGGCTTGACCAGAAATCAAACCCTGGCCTTAATTGTGATGACCGGATGCAAAACTCTATCCATTGAGCTAATCAAGCAATCTGGAGAGCAGCTGGCCATTGTGAGTTTGTTATATGAATTGAAATATATGAAAAGAGCGTTGTGTTTGGTTTGTTATCATCACACACATCAATTGAATTGCACCTGTTCCAGCTGTAACACACCTCACCTTAGGAGTTTTGAAAAGGAAATACACCCCATTTGTAGGTTTTACTTGGAAGTAGCTGGAATGAATTCATTCTGTTATTCATTCTGAGAGCCGAAACGTAAATGGTTTCTTACATTATGATACACCTCGGACTGTTGTTTCTTTCTTTACCCTACCCTCCTGGATTCATGTGCCGCTGGTGAGATGCAACCCACTTAAAAATACCGAATACTTTTTCTCTTGCTCCTTTGATAAAAAAATATTAGCTTGTTCACGCATCCAAAAAGAAATAGATTTTCCCATTAAAAACTCGTTTCCACGGTAATAGGACGAGATCAAGGTATAAGCTTACTAAGCACAAAAGATGAGACTTTCAAGTCCAAACAAGTAATTGAAGCTAATTAGCAAATATTTACGTTAAATTTTAAGTCTCCCTTGTTCATAGTTTATGCCATATAGATTTAAAAAAGTTCACAAACACCTACTTACGTTCTCTTCGTTATCTGGATGAATCAAAATCCAATTTTTTGTACCGTTTAACAAGCAGTTAAAAGCATTGTCAGCATCTTTGTGTAGCATACTCCGTGTACCACCAGAGCTAAGCCACAAATTCGCTTCCAAAATCCTCTCACTAAAACTTCCGCACATTAAAAGGGGCAATACCATGACTTCTGTCGACAGCGGATCAGGAAGTTGGGAAACCGTATAAGAATCTTTCTCTTGATAAGTTTCGAGAAAACTTCGAATCGTGTCTCTCCCGAGCCCTCTTTCGCCGACTGGAACTTCATCTTTTTCTCGCTTAGATTCTAGCTTCACTTCCAGCTCTCCATAATTTTCTTTCAGGTATTCATCCGTCCATAAATGAAAAGCTGGGAAATGTTTTCCTGCCCCTCGAAAAATCACTGGTTTTCGAATGCTTGCATATTGATCCCAAAATTGCTTCGGCGATGGCAAGTCTTCCGCGTCGATTATATCAACATGGCCATCGGAGTCTCTGTGCCTGCCTAGCTCCTCTCCGTGTCCTCGAGGCAGCTCATTGTGGCTTTCAGAAGAACTCAGACACTGAATTAGCTCAAAGATAAACAACAAGAACAGGTTATAGAACTTCATAACCTCCCGCCTCTCTGATGTTGTTGTGATCTCCTCGGTTGATGAATCACTGCGGTTGCGAACGAGAGAGATCTGGGGATACTCATAGAAATGAGACAGAGTTGGAAAATTAGGAAAGGAGTTAAATGGACTGGATTCCAGGTTTAACAGGGTTGGAGTCTCCTCAATTAATTTCTTCCCCCGGGCCCTTAATGAATGGTGCCGTCGAGAAGGCGACGATTTCATATGGCTAACTGCTGCACCTTTTGTGATTAATCTTATCAAATTTTATCTTAATTAGTCAGTTGATCAATTACTTTTTTCATATTCTGTACTAATACTATTGATATTTATTTTTTAAATTTACTATTTAATATTTGTAATATTTTTACTCACTTTTGCTATTTATCCTCGGAGATATTATCAACTTATTGCTATCTTTTAATGCGAGAACAAAAAAAAAATAGCTTATAACTTAGGAGCTACAGGAGCAACAGAAGAAATCACTCTTTTTTATCCCCGAATGATGTTTCGTACACATTCTAGACCATACTACGTAAAGTCCATTACCAAAACTATATATACCTGATTGAAGAAACGTTGTCGCTTGAAAAGTATAAACCATGAACGATGGGACCTAATGGATTTATGGGTAGAACTTTGCTAGCATTGCAAATGTAAAGTTCTTCTAAAAAATGTTTACATCTGCGAAGCTTTTCGCGACGATGCATTCCAAAAACGTAAAACGGTTCTAGTATTTACGGCTCACAACTTCACCAGTGCTGGACACATAAGATATTTCTACAGTTAAAGAGCGTAGCTGTATCGCTAACACACACTTGAAAATAATAAGATAGGACCTAAAAACGTTCTTGGAAGACAAAAAAAAGCACTCTGACTCAAGGGATTTGCATCCGCACGAGCATCTCGTGGCAAAGTCAGAGAACTTTTGTCGAAAAAACTTTGAATTTGCTTTGCTATTGAACGTATACCCATAAATCCTTGAAACCTCATTGTTCATGGTTTATACTTTTTAGCGACAACGTTTTTTCAATCAGGTGTATGTAGTTAGAGGTACATGACAAAGATGACAGGCGAAATTAATTTCGACATATGTACATTCATATCCTGGCATGTAGTTTAGATCTTGCGATAATAAATGAGTTCATTCAACCGAGGTTAAATGAATAGCAGAGAAAATTGGAATATTCATTTTTTTACCTCTTCGACTTAGCTTTGGCTCAGGATGGAAAAATAATAGGTTCTATGCATTCTTATTTTAGGTTAAAATGCACTGAAAACTTTTTGGAACTGTGACGGTTTAGTTTATTAGATCAGAAACAGAACAGATTGAAAGAGATTGACTGTCAAAATTGACCTCAAAGATAGCTCTTTTCCGAAGTACTCGCACAAGAGGTTGGGGGTCTGAAGACATGCAGTGCATTAGATCTGTCAGTTAATAGTCTGTTAATACAGTCTCTGAAGGTTTTTGTCTGAGCTCAAAGGAAAGTTATCAGGAAGCTGACGTTTTCTTTCGTCCTTTGACAAGATGCTCCAGTTTCACGGAAGACCGGAACATTTAAACTCGCCATCACATGGAAGTTCGCTATTGCGTCGAAGGGGAACATTTGCATTGATATTTCACGACTCGGAACAAGAACCCACAACACAACCAGCATGTCGGTATTTTAGGTCCAAAAAGCTGTTGGCCAAAGAAGAAAAGATTCAAATAAATGTCAGCGGGAAAAGGTATCAAATGACTTCTCGACTGCTAAAGAATTTCCCGAACAGTTTACTGGGCAATCCTACAAAGCGTCAACTTTATACGGAAAACGGTGAAATGTTCTTCGATAGGAATCGAATAGCATTTGAGAGCGTTTTCAGTTTCTACACAACTGGAGGAAAGCTTGTACTGCCTAACGATGGCTTATCCGAGCAACTGGTAGCTGATGAATTGTATTTTTTCGGAGTATATGACTATTTGAGCCAGCACGACAAAAGATACAGTTTGCCGCTTCCAAGAAGATTGCAGACAAAGAAACTCTTTAAACCAAAAGGTGTTTATCGAAAGAAAATTTGGGAAGTGTGTGAAGTACCCGCATCAAGTACTTTTGGGCGAATCCTCAATCTATTTTCGCTGTTTGTAATAACGCTTGCAGTTGTTTTAGCATTCGTCAGTTCTTTACCAAACATACGAAGCTCTCGGGATTTTGCAGAGATCACTACATTGAGAAACACAACAAGTCATAGGACTTCTAATCAGAACCATACGACGACTACAACATTCAGCAGCTTACATGCCATGGAATTTATCTTCAAAGCTGAACTATGTTGTATTGCTTGGTTTACGTTAGAGCTTTTAGTACGCTTTATCGTTGCTCCAGAAAAGCGCAAATTCTTTCTCAGAGTTCTAAACATCATAGACATTGTAGCAGTTCTTCCGTTCTACATTTCATTGATCGCTTCAATCAAAAACATGGTCCCTATTTACATCATCAAAGTCTTCCGTCTTTCAAGGATTTTTCAAGTGCTTAAAATCTCACGCCTTAATTCAAAAATGAAAGTTGTAGGCAAAACTGCTAAAGCCTGCGTGTACGATGTCTGGACTATTGTATTTCTAACTTGCATTGGCACGGTCCTCTTCGGAAGTACAGTGTATTACTGTGAGCAGTGGGACGACGAAACTGTGTTTCTTAGCATACCTCACGCATGCTGGTGGGCCGTGGTGACGATCAGCACGCTAGGCTATGGTGATATGGTGCCTAAAACTTTAGGTAAGTCAAAGAACGAGCTCAACCGTACCCTGATCCCCACGGATAAAACACGAGGAAAGTTTGTTTGTTCATGCTCAGTACTGGCTAAGTAGCCTTGGAATCCCGGGTAGGAGGGAGTGCCGAGGGCTTGGGGGGGGGGGGGGGGAGGAAGACTCTGGAGGTAAAGTGAAGAGGATGATCGAAATATTTTTGAGGTTTGAAATTCTCCATTCTCTCCCATTTTGGGGGTGTTCCAAAACAAATTAGTGTGGTACCCGGCGAAGCCCTAGGGATATTTTGGGGTTTTGATTCTTGCCCCTTTTCGATTATCCCCTTCCCGTTAACTCCGGAGTACACTCCCCGGCCTTTGAATCGTCCCTGCGTCTTTCAAATAATTAAAATTACTTTCAATTAATCAATTAATCAATTTTCTTTTTCCACAGCTGGTAAGATCGTGGCAGGAATATGCTCTGTTTCTGGTGTGGTGCTCATCATGCCGTTACTGCCGATCATTTATAACAAGTATGACAGGTTTCAAAAACTGGAAGACAGCAAAGTAACAACAAAATACCGGAACAGTGTCAAGCCGAGGAGAAGAAACTCTCTCAGTTCTCACGGTCAACCCAAGAACAACGTTATATCCTATGTTTGACTGATGTTGATCGGCATTGTAACGTTACTAATTCACGAAAAATAATAATAATAAAATAAATGAAATGGTAATAATGATAACTAAAATCTATCCCTAGAATGATTTCCATGCGAGAAATATATTACCAGCATGACCCTCGGGCTTTTCTCGCAGAAAATGAAACTAAGGGCACCTTTCCCAATTTCCGAGGGAGAACGCCTTGGAGAAGAGACCCGAACAGAATCGAGCTACGACGAAACCGGACGAACGATCTCAGAACAAACTGAGCGAACGCCGAGGGACTGGTGACATTTGATACGAAACAGGTGTCTTAATTTTCCCTGTGTGAGGCATACAACAAATGACCACAAAGAGGTTGGTCTTCCTGTGCTCCAAGACAGCGCCTTACCGCCAGGAGCCCATAACCTTATTTACTTAGTGCGGCCAGATGATTAAACAATTTTAAATGAGAGCATTAAAGTGAGGTAAAAAACACTTTATTCGTGTTTTCCCTGGCTCAACACTCTGTTGATTATGCATCGTTTTCTCCCTTTTAAAACAATATGCTACAATGCTACAGTGAGTATGAAAGGAATTAAATATATTTAGACAAAATCACTTTCTAAGCTTGTCTTATAATCAAGCCTGATTCCAAGACTTCGCTTGTCTCCCAAAGCATAACGATTCTTTTTAATTACAGAGCGCTATAATTATATTACGAAACTTTTCAATCCCAATAAGATCTGCAAAATAAATAATTCTAAATAATTTAAATATCTATCTCCTATAAAAATCATCTTGTGAATGACCGTTATTAAGTTTCACTGCTGAAAAATAAATAACCCACTAAAACAACCTTACACGAAATCACCTCGTAAAATAAACAATCCTTTGCAAATAGTAGTCTAGTAAAAAAGATAAATAACGGACTAAATATGTGTTGAGTTTTCATTTCTAAAACTTCTGGAAAAAATACAAAACAATACAATAATTTCTGTACACATGAAAGGCGAATCTTTCTTTAAACTTGGGTCAAATTTTAGTAACCAGTTATCCTTTGTGGATTGCGTTCCGAAAATATTCGAAAATTGTGCAAATTTATTTCTCATTACCACTTTTGCTAACCAGAAATTCTAAATCTTTTGACGGTGGATATTCGCTTAAGAAATATAACTGCTAAAAATTGCGCAAACTAGTGTACTAGATTTAACAAATTCTTTCTAACAAAAAATGCGTACATGATGAGGTCGACGATGTTCCCCTGATCTTTTGAAGCGTAAGAAGAAACAATTAGGCGATATCGTAGTGAAAAATGGCGGGGAGATACATTTCCCGGCTATCGTCAGCGCTCGTAATGTGGTTTCTAAATTTTCTTCGCCCCCTACGTGCCTGTCTCTATCTCCGTGATTTAAAAATGAACGCTTGAGAATAGCGAAACTGGAAAATTTAAACTGGTAATGCTAAGCTTTTGTAATTACAATTTTCTTTTCTTGCTTTGTACTTGAATTAAGATTCGTTGTACTTCTGCATCCACAACCTGAATACTTTTTTTGTTTTGTATATTTGCCACTCTTTAAGCAAGCGACGGTTTACTAGCGTCAGCTGATACCACGCCATGAACACCTGTCAAATTAGAAAAAAAAAAAGAAAAGGCTTAGAAACCGAGTCAAACTTAGAAGGATTTGTATGGAGTCAGAGCAAAACGGGACAATTTTCTCCACAATGCTAGTTTTTGGCAAGTAGGCCTTTCAGATGTTGTTCTTTCAAAATATGCCTATAAATTCCATAATTTCAAAATTTACATTTTTAAGACCTCATCACTTTAGAACTATGTTACTTGTGTAGTCAGCCAGATGGACGCTTATGAAATCGTAAAACATATATACTGGTATACAAGACACTACAAAGATGACAGCATGCGTTGTGGCGGGAAAAAGAAACAATGGAAAAGCGCGGCAAAACTAATGGGACGACAAAGCAATGGAGAAAGGAGGTTCACGAAAAGACTGATGGGCAATAACGCAACCAAAATTTGCTAGTTATGGATGGAAAAATGCTCATGACGATTGTATCTTACAACTTTCGCAGAGAATCGCCGACGAGATTCACCGTAATTATGCCTCGACCTTTTTGGCAAGAAGCGGGGAGGGACCCTTAGAGAACATTTTACCTCCGACAGCTGCTTTTTCTCTTCGTGTTTCATCATCATTTGAGAAACTCGTTTTCTTATCAACTGATGACGCCATTTTGTCCAGAATTTTTCGTAGACACGTCGATCAACCTACCGAGAAATGAAATGAAAGTAAAAGCTCAGGATATAAAAGTATATCGCAATGTATACTGAGTAAAAGCGTTTTTCAATAAAAGAAAAGCGATTTGAAGTTATCACGTCACCAAGTCTCTAAGGATGAAGAAACATGTTGCCTAGAAACGGACCCATCGACAATTAAGGGTGTAGTCAATGAGCGCAAAGCAAGTTTGAACTCAAAGGTTCGCATTTTCGTTATCAGAAGACATAAACATCAGGAAATAAAAGACTCACCAATTCAGTGGCGATAGTGTTTAGAGCGATTCTTTTCTTCCACATAGTGAAGTGTTTCACTACAATCCTCTTGTCCTTTTGTACGCTGTATAACTCAAGTTTGGTGTCGTGAAGCCAAGCTCGGAAGCACAATTTGCTAAAAAAAGATAATAATGTCAAAAGTCAATATCAGCAAAAAAAGAAAAGTACGAAGGAAGTACTAATTAAGCACACTAATTTTACGCCTGCTACGGAGACGGGATCGCCACTTGACGTGGTCATCTAAGCCCCCACGCAGTACCTTCTTTTCTTAGATATTTTACGACCCTGAGTATTGATCCGGCCCCGGGGATCGAGCCCGCGACCTCTGCCCGCTTTGCAGTCAAGCGCTCTATCGACTGAGCTAGTCCTGCCGTGGAACAAGAGGAGAAGTCGATGTTCCGCTTGTGCCAGTTCAGGTCTCTCTACATTTCTATCAAGCACGTTATAAAACAGTTTAGATGACAGTGAGACATTATGTTTTTTTTTTTACCTCAGAGCTTTCTTGTAGTGATCATCAGCAATTTCGTCGTGTTGCTGTTAAGAGACGAAACACAAGCAGGGTTTATTTAGATGGTCTTATGCTATAACCAGGGCAACAAATCTTGAATTGAGGGTCTCAATGGGATGGTGGCATTTACGGGTAAACGGTTATACTTTGGTTTTACGGTTCAATTCACGGTTAATTTCTTAACTTTTCTTAACTTCAATTTCAAGGAGTAAACTCAATTGTTTTGAAAAAGTTCAAAAGTTTTTGATGCCTTTAAGAACTTTTCCGGGATGGAAAAAATGCTGAAATTTCGCCCATCAGCCATTCACATTTTTGTCGCGCATTTCCCTCTATAATTAAACAAGTCACGTGAAGCAAGGCTTAAGCGCGTATATTGTATGACACTCTCTGCATAACAAATTGTGGCTAAAAAATTTCACGGTAATATTTCCATTTTTACGATCAACGAATAAAATTACTGGCTTATGGGATCTCAATATTTAACCCCATTACGACCCTCTTAATTCTTAACGAGCATTTTTGGCGGGAAACCGCGCAAAGTGTGTCAACTGCCGGTTACATTACGTAATACAAAAACAAGCAAATGAACTAATCAAAATAAGAATGCCGTTCACTGCTTTCCGATGACAGGATGATTCACACAATATTCCGTATGACAAATGAATCCTACCTTCTCCTTTTCTTTATCCGCCAGCTTTTGTTCTGCTTTCGCTTTCCACTCTGCAAAAAACTGCAAGGAACAAAGTGAATTTAACTTCTCACAATATTCGCGCGGTGTTAAAATTTACCCCGATCTTCAACTTTCTAGTGAGAGACATAAACCTTGATTTGCACGAGGTGCTCTACAAAGCCAATAGGCAGTAAAAGAAACATCACACCCATTGACTAAGTTTATCGTGTGCTCTGATTGGGTGATATTCAGCAAACTCTGAGCATTTTCTAGTGGCGTTGTTTGTCTTGCGGTACAGTTGATAGATTTTTAAGTGTGCTCTGATTGAGCAAAACTAAGCATCACTTTGGCATGGCTTGTTTGTCTTGCTACGCAATATGTATCGATTAGATTTGGGAGGTAAAAGGGGCTTTAAGAAATTACGTCTCCCAAGCATTGATTTAAAACGTTACAAATAACAATAATAAACTTTGAAAACCTGTTAGACTAGTAAGTTTTCAAAACCACAATAGCAACCCGTTATCTTCTTCACGTTTGTTCATCCGCGCTTCCTTTCTATTTGCTACGTTATTTTTAACCTTACTGTAAAGTTTTGAACGGTTATTTTTATGTTTCATTCAACTTGGTGGCAGTGCCACTGTTTGAATTTGGTAAATTTCGTGACACACCTCCTTTGAATTCCAAGATCATGACTGAACACGCTGATCGTGCATGTCAAGACAGAAATTCACCGTACCTTGGAAGTGACCGTGTTGTTATAGTGCTTCTCGGCGCGGCTCTTCAGTGTAAATTTCTTCCATTCCTTCAAGACTCCTTGTTTCATTCGTCTGTTGTGATGTACCATCTGCCCCTCTACCAGTTTTTTATGTTTACGGGAGAGTTTAAGCGCATCACGCCATTCGTAAAACATACGAGAAACCTGTGACAAAAAAACCGCAAGAAGAAATTATTGCAAAACACAACTTTTCTCTAAGACGAGAACAAGGAAGCTTAAGACTTCATAGATCATAAACTTTTCTTAACTATCTTCAGGTGGTCTCAAACCCCTGATCGAATTGGAATTTAGAAACGCTGGCTTCCTTTTGTTAGACAACTCGTAACCGTGATGGGCTCCTGTCATAACATGAAGAAAAACCCACACGGCAGGGCCAGGAAGTGATAACATCGTATCGCATGCGAAAGACAATATCAGGAATCTCACCCAATCGGTAAAAATAGAAGCAAGAACCACTAATGAAACGACTCCCTACCACCTACCCCCTACCCCGCTACCCCCGCCCCCCCACCCCCCACACCATCTGAAGTTGTTATCGTGCTTTATGAAAGCCCGAATCCTGGGCTTTTGGATCCGGAATTCAGCTCAAGGAATCCGAACTTCCGCTAACTACTGGAATCCAGAATCCAAGTTTCACCAACAAAGAATATCCGGAATCCCGTACCTGCAATCCGGAATCCACAACGTGGAATCCACAATTTAAAACTGTCTGGGATTGATTGTTCAAACACGCGTCATTGCTATGTTCAAAATTTAAGACTACACAGGTGTTCAAAGGAAGAGAGAGTTGCGTCGAAAGTTGTGTTTGGAGGCGATAAAAAAGGACACTTTGTCTCACCTTCTTGTTCATCAATTCATCTTGAAATGACTTTACTGTCTTTCTTTCATCAAGCCTTTTCTTGACAACTTTCCTCCATTCTACCAGCGATCTACAAAAAAGAAAGGCACATAAGTTTCGCAAAATGTTTTGAAAGAGTAGATGACTCAGGACAAACAGGGAGCTCTGTTCATGTGTTTTGTCTCTCTCTGGGTGTTATTCAAATGTTGGCATACCTCTTCAGTAAAGTTTGATCACGGAATTCTCTTGCTCTTTGCATCTGGCGAGTTTTGTCTGTCCACAGATGGAAATGTGAATGAACAAGTCGTCGGCCATGTCTTGTTTGTAGATTATCCGCCATTTCAGCTTGCTTCTTTACCTCTGCGAATGCAAAATACGGGAGACAGATTTGTCGCAAGATTAGGAATGTTTCGCTATGAATGCACAAAATCCTCTTTGGTCATCAACTCAGTGGTATAATGACATGTGTGTACAGCTGTATATAGTACCACTGTATTAATAATGGTAACAGGACTGAGTGGAGTCCACTCATTCGGTCTGTAATCATGCGGGTGATAAACAAGGTTTGCTTAATCAAGAGTATGATTACAGACCGAATTGGACGCCACGGAGTTCTGCATGTTACCAATTAATCATAACTATGAGATTTTTTTAAATTCAAAATAAAAGATATTCAGAGTGTATTTTGCTAGAAGTGAAAAAACAAACAAACAGACAAACAAAAACAAAACAAAACATTCACGCGCTCGCCCGCGATGACGCGTACTGTCCTATTACACTGTCCTACTATTACTGAAATCAAGACAGTTGATAGCCAATTAGATTTGAGAATTTTGTTATAGTTCTGTCTAACGTTGATTTTCATCATGTAACGATTTGTTCAATACAACGATATTTTGTGGCCTTTCAAGTGGCACTTATGGTGAGCGACGCAACGCAGTATTAAGCCTATAGCTGAAGTAAAATCGATATCAATCAATAACTAAAGCGTGCACTCACTGTATGTCCAGCGCTTCCAGTGGAGCCCAGCATCTCGCGTCCTTCTCAACAGAATTTTCTGCCAAATACAAGAACATTGCAATGATCATAACTTGTGTGATTTGTGGCCTTTTGCGCAAAATGCAGGGACAAAATTTAAAAACCGTTTTAATATTTGATAACTACAATAAAGCACTTGTTCGTTACCTCTTGAAGTTTTTCACTTCCTTTTTTTGTGTACAGCGCGAACCACCATCTTTGGAAGGACTACAGAATGCAACAATAAAACCTTATCGATTGTACATGATAGGGCCCACAAATATCTTCCTTCATAGCGTGACACTGGAAAGTTAACCCTCATACCCCTCATTTTCTACTATACTTCTGACAATTGGGGAATTGCTAGCCCACAAAAACTCGAAGAATGAAGAGCAAATACTACATGTGGTTTGGGATCGTAAAACACAATCCCATGAATCCCAGGGAGTGTCAAAAAAATTTGTAAAGTAAAACAGACAAACAAACCGGCAAACAAACAAATAAACAACTTCCATTTTTCGTGCTATAGGACTCAAAAAGGCCTCTGAGAGCCTGATTTTGAACATGTTCTTGAAAAGGTACGTCGCAGTTTTGGCATCTTAAAAAATTTAGCAAAAATAAGTTCGTCATTTGTAATCCATGACAAAACCCTCCATCCTAAAGCATAAAGTTCTTCAGTATTTATCTTCCATTTAGCGTTTTTTCTATTTTGACAACTCAGCTAATATTCTGAGGTTTCCTCCCATTTGAAAATAATTTTCAATGTTCCAAATTTAATAATGAATCAAACTCTCGTAATAGAGCTCCTTGGACAAACAAGACGTCTTTAGTTTATCTTAATAGAATTGAAGTTTAGCAATTTTACCTTGACGACAAGTTTTTTCTGATAAGATTTTTCAGCTTTGCATCTCAGCATAAACTTCATCCACTTCACCAGACAGTGATGCAGCAATTCTGTGTCTTTTTTCTCAAGATATTCTTCCAGGATTTCCAAGTTTTTAACGTTTCTTTGGAAACTTTCCCTCCAAGTCTTAAAGGAGTTAGACAACTGAAGCAAAAAATACCAGTCTAACGTAACTTATTTATTCGAATACGATTTTGATGGTTACAAAAAATACTTCTGATCAATTTCCTCAATTGCAACAGTAACATCAGTGTTTGCGGTGAAAGGCCTTTTTTATTAAAGAACCAATGACACTTTGTTTATTTTTACTTTGAAATGTTTTTGCCTTGTTGCCTTGAATTATCGCCGATACAAAATTCTACGCAACACATACTTTTAAGGTTTTAAATAATGCATTGAATCGAAACGAATGAATTGGATCTTAATTACCTTTAAATGTTGAAATTCTCACTTGGAAGGAATTTTTCAGAAGTATTTTTCACTTTAGAAGCAACAGCAACTCAACAAAATTGATTGAAAATTTCATTAGTTTTAACCCACTTCTCGGTTTCTAGATATGACAAAAATGAGTATTATAAAGAACAAAGTGCCTACCAGCTGATGAGCCTTGTCTCGATGGATTTCCTGTAATACTTGGCGCCTTTCTACTCGACAGTGTACGTACTGATGAAGGCCGAGCAGTGTGCTGTTGAGAGATAACAGAGAGAGAAAAAAGTCAGCACATGTTTGAAACAAGTCACATTAAGTAAATACTACTATCGTAATAATACTAAGACTGTTTACTGGGTTAAAAATACTACGAGAACCAATGTTGTGTTGTCTGCAGGAAAGAAATTCTCCGGATCATGAAATATGACCGCATCTCCACGGCCCTATCTTTTGACACGCCTGGACCAAATCTAACGATCAACATCTTATCTCTCCTTAAATCTATCGCTAAATCAGACATGGAGGGCGTGAAATAAGGGAAATGATAATCAGTATCATGATGTTCAAACAACTTATTCTTGATAGTGCCGTAAATTCTTTTCGTTCCATACGGCGCGTTCTGAACCCTGCATTGCGCATTTAAGAAATTCAAATAACAATTTTCCGGTCAAATTCAAAGCGTTCCGATATCGGAGTGGCCCTGTGCACAACGTTTACGGTCTAAAACTCTGAATGAACCTAAAAAGGTTTCAAAATTCACTTCCTAAAGGATAAAGGTTCTGGATTTTAGTTTCTTCCGTTCGGTAGTTTGAAAATCAGTCGTGATCGGGAGAAGAGGCTGGGTGGGCAGGTAGAAAAGACCTCTATTCCGGTTTATTTTATTTTTTCTCTTTACCTTCTCAAAAGTTTGTCGTGGGCGTGGTTTTTAGCTTTTTGTACTTTATGAGCCTCCTGTACCCAGTAGTCAAACATACGGCGCAACAGTTTCTTTTCGGAATCTTCGGCAATGTGCATCGCCCTGGTATTTAACACCTTTGCTTCTACAAAAACAACAAAAACAAAACAAAAATCATCTTTAGTTAGTTTTCACCATCTGCAAAACCTAGCCGTGCAGCGTTTTCCGCGTTAAAGCCTTTCGTGTTAGCTTCGTGGCCTCTTTGATTTTGCTTTACTACACGTTTGATTGGCTAAAAAGTTTCGGGCCACGTTTTAAACCAATCAAGTGTAATTTCAAAATAACACGTGACTTGGCTGCATCCGTTTTCCTCCGCTTTTCAACTGAAACGTGAGTAAACGTGCGTTTGCTTCGCTATCTCCTTGACTCCTGATTTGACCATTACCGACGATGCCAGTTTAAAAACTTAATAAGAAAAGTTCATCACCACAATATATATCCATAACTTTCTATCAGACATAAGAGGCACCGCTGGCAATAAAAAGTTTGAAAACCCCGGCAACAAACCGACAAACCGAACTTCTTTTCTCGGAAAGAGCCAGCAACAATACCAAAATATAGGCGGAAGGCACGATGATTTAACGAGGGGAATCTTTGAAAAGGCCTAACATCCTCAAAAACCTATGTAGAACATCTGTTAGTTATTTTCACACCTTCGGTGATGCTTTTCCAAGTATAGATGAGACGACGAGTCTGTAAGAACAAAAAAAGAAAAATGGAAAGTAAAGAAAACGTTCGTAGCACTGTTATAATGTAAGGAGCTTCCTTAAGAAATTAGCTAAGAAATTAGTTTTACAAAAACACGCTACTCCATATTTCTCTGTAATTACTATGTTTTTGTTCCAAACGAAGGCTCGTCTTCTTTCGATTTACACTGATAACTCCTGAGCTTCAGTGATAGATACGTGAAATGGGAAAAATACATTAAGAAATGGTGTAAACTTACAGTTTTCCTCGAGGTGTATTCGTCGTACCAACAAAGGAACATCTGAGAGAAGAAGAAATGGAAATTGCGAAAATATAACAATTAGCATTGAAAATTAGAAACCTAAAGCAAATAATTGCCTCGATTTAATTTATAACAGCTAAAACAACGTTTATATCCAATGTCCGTTGGCTCTTATTAATTATGAAAAGTAAATATACTCCGCAATCAGTAAAACCGATTATCGTCGGTTTTAGAACGTACGGAAGAAAATTTTATAAATTGGAATTTCCAAAAATTTCATGGTAAAACAAAGAGTTTCTCAGGAGATTCCGAGCTCTGTACCACTTTACTGCAAAATCTTTAAAAAAGAGAAGGCATCTAAATTAACAACAATTCAATAACCTTCTCAAGACATACAACATGTTATTAAAGATGACTTTCAATTTACTCTCACCAAGAGTGTAACACATCAAGAAAAAGATTTAATTAATTTCTCCATTTTGTTTTCAAGGATATAAGAAAGCTAGCCTACGAATACTGCCGTCTATTCTCGCTCCTCGCCGCCAGGAACGTTGCGCGGCGAGGAGCAAGGAGTAAAGAGACACGGCTGATTCGCTGGGAAAAAAATAGCCAAAAGAAACTGAAAAAAAACTGCAACCCAAACAAAGCAGCTAAATTGCTTCTCAGGATCATTCAAAGGGATGCTATTTCCGATACGAGTTATATAGCGACAAGCCTTAATCATTTCAGTGGCATAAATGATAATGAAACGTTCGCTAAGATTAATCAGTGCGGCTTCGAAACGCACAGAATGAATCCGATCAGATTTGACCCTAGTTTCACTAGACTTGGCGAGACTGCACTACACCAATGCAACACGGAATAACGCAAAATCGAGAACAGAAACTTAGTTTCCAAATCGGCATTCTAAATTCCCACGGAATCCAAGAACAACTTTCATTCCACTCATTCATTATCATTGTTCGTCACGACGCTATGATTCCGCCAGCAGCATTGCTTTATCATTTGCCATACAAACCTTGCACAAGCAATAATCTATTGATTTGCTTTAATCTTTATAAGTTGGTAAATTGACTTCTTAACTCAGTGTGCTACAGAAACAGTGCCAAGCGAAAACTAAGAAAAATGTCTGCCTAAACTAAGTAAAACGAAATCCGTCATTGCCAAATTAAAACACATACAATAACTATTTCCCTAGTATATCGTGCAAACAACATTTCTGATAATGGTCAACGGATTTCGATTATGCTGTTGTCTATCGAAGCTCCTTACTGCCAAAATTTAATGATTTGACTTTGATAACCACTTTTTTTATTATTAAACAGGCTCGCAACAGAGTCTTGCGGTTTGTTTTTTACAAAACACTTTGCCGAGTCTCAGTTTCCCGCCATTTCCTGCCACTCTTTTGATCTAGCCTCCGCCGGTCTAGTAAAACAACCAGAAGAACTTTCGCGTACAATGTTATATGATTTTGCTCAAAAGAATTAGAAGGACTAAGCCTGTTTGCTTCAATATTCTTTTCCCACCATACCTTCTTTTGTATGGCTACGACATAATACTTGTCAGCTCTAATTTCCAAGGTATAATCTCGCCATTCTTGAAAGCACTCGCGTAATTGATTCTGGTCACGCTGTTGGCTATGAGCCCGCGATACCTCGCAATGTCCGTGGAGCTGTTGCCAGAATCGAAAGCTTCGAGCGAGCTGTAAAAAGATGTTAGGCAATAAGTTATGCAGTCGCTCAGTCAATCAAACCAGGAAACGATCAGTCAATAAGATAAAACATTCACATATTAAGTCAGACGATCAGTCAACCAGTCCGTCAGTCAGTGAGTCAGTCGGCAGTCAGTTAGTCAGTCAGTCAGAGTCTGTGAGTCAACCAGTCAGTCAGTCAGTCAGATAGTCATTCAGTCAGTCAGTCATGGTCACTCACTCATCACTCACTGAGTCAGTCAGTGAGTCAGTTAGTCAGTCCGTCGGAGAGTCTGTAAGTCAGTCAACCAGTCAGCCAGTCAGCCAGTCAGCCAGTCAGCCAGTCAATAAGTCAGTCAAACACTTTTAACTCACTGAGTCAGTGAGCGAGTCAGTCAGTCAGTCAGTCAGTCTGTGAGTCAGTCAGTCAGTCAGTCAGCAAGTCAGGCAGTCAGTCAGTCAATCAGTCAGTCAATCACTCATCACTCACTCAGTCAGCCAGTCAATCAGTCAGTCAACTAGTCATTTAATTACTCGAACATTTACCAAGTTTGCAGCCGCGTGTTTCTTGAACTCGTGCATGGCGCGTCTGTTTCTTGTCCTTTCCAGAGCCACATCTTTCCAGCAGACAAACACACTGAGAAAAAAAAGCACCAATCAACCTTTTAGGTCTGTTTGTTTCATGCACGAACGAAAGCCACGATTGTACTTTTTCAAAAGTCCTTTGTTTTCCATTCTTAATACCTTCTAATAATGTTGTGTTCGTGCGTCCTTCTTGCTAATTGAAGTTGCTGGGCTCCGTTCAGCCACTCAGTAAAAATCTCCTTCATAATCTTCAGTTCCACGGAACGACGAAACAGGCGAGCCTGTTTTCTTTGCGTGCTCATGCCTTTAAAATAAATAAATAAGTAAATACACAAATAAAATCATCACCATCTATGACAAAAATCTTATCCTTTACTTTTTCCATAGTTCTTTCTTAATATTTTTGCGTGAATCGCACATTATAGAAAGAACGAGGGTTTTGGGGCTTAAGCCTATGAACGCAGACGTCGCTTCTCTCCACCCGAAAAATGAAGCGACAACCGGAAAAACGTCTGCGTTCGCAAGCTATTGGGGCTCAAAGGATTATGAATTATTTTCCCAAGGAACGCTTTAACGGAAAGGTAACTACAGCTTCACAGTGCTTACCATTTGCCCACGCATGCCAGCCTCTGAGAACTTCCAAAAGTCGATCAGTTTCTTTAAGCTAGAAGAGGAAAAATAATTTTAGCAAGTTAGTTCTAGCCTGTAGCGATCAACAATAAGAATGACTTGCTTTATTATCTTTTTACAACAGCTTTCCGTCTCCTTCAAAAAAACTCCCCTCTTGAGAACCGATGTGATTGAAAATAATCACGGTTGTTATTGCTATTTCAGTCAAAACTAAATCATTCAAAGTAAGAAGTTGTTCTAACCTCGATAAACTCATCCACTCGGCTGACAGCTTGAAATCGTGCTTGCCATTCTCGAAAAGCCTTAAGTTAAGCGTGGAAAATAATACCATTAACAATTTAAAAAAATAACAAGCAAACAAAAGCACCTTTTCTTTCCCTTGGGCCACACCATAGGGTTTCCGCCACTGGCTCAAAACTTATTACTACTTAGAAAATAAATCGAACCATGTGAAAGTGCTACTAAAGAGCTTTCATTTGAAAGGTCACGCCAAAGGACTTCGTCCACAGACTTAAAACTTACACTAAACCCGTATGATCTTCTTGTTTCTTGGATACAAAGGTTCACACAACAAGAATTAACTGTAACAAGGTCCCGCAAATGAAGTGGTAACCGTAACCGTAGATTTCACGTCCTTAGAAAAATAACATGAAAAAGAGCTTCCTCCTTACCATGACAAGAAGCCGCCTTTCTCCAAACAGCACAACATTTCTTCTGTTTGTGACTCGTGTAGAAGCAAGAACATGCCAGGCCACAAAACATCTACGTAAAATTGAAAATAGAGAAAGCGTTATCACAAACAATCAATTCTAAATAAGACGAACACTTTTTGGAATGGCACCATGTGCCTTAGAGAAATATCCGTCTAAAAAATCTTATTGAAAGTACTATTTTTTTGAGATTGAATATGGATATGGACGCAAGGCGTCTTTCCTTCTTTTTTCATCATTACAAGATCCTAAACTCACAGCTTTCATAACTCTAAAAATGATGCCCTTTTCAGTGGCTTTTGTGCTTTGTTTCTAAACAAAACTAAAATTCTAGGAAATACAACATAACAAAGACAAGGACACGAGGCAGTCTGTAAGGTAATGCTTACTTTGGAAGAAGTCTCTCCATGTATAATCGCTTAGCCTCTTGACTCTTCCTGGTCATTTTAGCCCAGTAGTAGAAGGCATGACGAACAAACCGAGCTTTCTGTTTCTTCTGAATTACTTGAGTGGAGCTTTTGTCTTCTTCCGTCACTAAAAAGTAGCAAAAACAGTTGCATCGTTCCGTCTTTACTGCAGGAGCTAATCCAAAGACATGAAAAGTGGTCATAATTTTTCAGGGTACAAACGCAATTCTATGGTGCGACCACGCAAAATTTGTCTTGGCGCAAAGATTTGTTGGTTGTTGAAGAAGACCTAGCTCCTGAACGTCTAAATCATCTTTATCACCTCAGTTTAAAAAACCAAGGTCTAATGTCACTCCTCCTGCGAGGCAACACATCAGTTTCGTTTATTATTCTGTTCTTTACAAATAACGTAAACTGTTGCTTATACGTCCTGGGTTTATACATCTCCATAAGGGGGTTTAAAAGGGGTTATAAACGAGTGGGGGGGGGGGGGGGGGGGGGCTTATATCCGAGGGGGCTTATGACTGGAATACAAAAAGCGCTTATTCGAAACAAGGTATAGCAGTGCTGCTGGTTTTTTATTGAGCTTCATAATATCATGATAAATCGAATTTGTTTCAATGCCTATAAATCGGGGAGGGGCTAATTGGCGGCAGTTTACAGTATTGAAGAAAAACTAGAGGCGCTCCATGATGACAATTTTTTTTAATTTTTTTTTTTTTTTAACGTGACTATGCCACTTACCAAATGCTTTCTTTTGCCACTGTCCTATCAGTGCCTGAAGCTTCTTCTTGGACGTACACTGAAAAATAACAAACATAATTCAGTTTACAGTCATCCCCACAAAAAAACTCCCGGCTTGCAAATAAACAACAAACCCGCTTCTTCCATTTCTGAAACCGTCCTTTCAACAGCGTGAGCCTGCGATGCTTGTCAGCCAGTAACTTCATATCTTCCTGAATGCGTTTAGAATCTGCGTACTCGTGCCAGGCCCTTAAGCATTTAAGACGGGACGTATAAAGCTGATACAAAAAAAGAAAAGAAAAGAAAAGAAAACTTCAGGACGTGTTAAAATGGCGAATGCTTTGACACCTTCCACGGTGACATTTTCAGAAGCCGCGATACATTTGACAAGAAACGTTGCTTTGAAGATATCAGAGATCTTTAGATTCGAGGACAACGACGAGATTTCGCTTTATGTTTGTTTTTTTTTCGCGTATTCTAAAAAACAGATCGACATCCTGGAAACCTTCATTGTACCTTTTTCACCAGAATTGTCAGCAAAGTTATTTATATTGAAGGAGGTTAAGCCCTTTTTCGAGCACAAATGATAAAAATTCTAACATTCGATAACTTGGCTCCTCCACAAAGACTCGCTAAAATTCGTAGTCAAATGACGAAAGCTACAGCATTTTCCCGCCAAAATGACGCTGATTCACGCGCGCGCACTACACCTCGTCCTCGTTGTCGTCCAAACATCTCTATTACAGTCAACTAACCCAATGTTGTCTCGAAGTGACTCTAGTGTATAGCTCCCTTCTCCATGTTGCCAAGGTCTTCACCATCAAATCCGTGGTCTTGTTATTCGTGAGGTAGTTAAGCAGTTCCCTCTGAAGCTTTCTCTGCCGCGTGTATTTCAGCCATGTTCTAAACGTCAAACTTAGAGGCAGATTTCTCCAGTGGAGAATGGTTTCAGTTGCCATGAGCTCACGGTCTCGCATCTCACTCTGGGTGCTTCGACCAGTGAAAGAGGTGCAGGATGCAGTACTCATGCGGTCATCCTAAAGAAGGGAAAAAGATGCCAAGTTGTAAAAATGGTGGAATCGCTATACACCTATAGGGTTTTCGATAGCATTTGGAAGTACCGGATGCAGAGGTTCAGCTGCTTCACCCTTCATGCCGCAGGCGCGAACTTTGAGCGCCGGAGGCATGACCTTCTAGGGAGGTCCGGGAGACATGCTCCCCCAGGAAATTAGACTCTCTAAAATACAATTTCTTGCGTTCGCTGGACCGGAATTGGTTAGCCGGGAAGGTCTTTTAACATATTAAAAAATGCTTATGAAAAATTAAATATTTGATTTGACAATTATAACTATCGGTTTGCAGTTGTTCGTTTTTTTCTTTTACAAGTTAAAAAAAAATATTATTTCGTACGCACCAAACAACCAAACGTTGCGTCTGGTGACCGGCCTAAAACGAAACCCCCGACTTAACTAAAAAAAGGTTCTCCTGCATGACATCGTTACCACTTTTTTCTCTGGTTTCCATAGCAACTCGCCCTCGTCGGGTTGGCGTGTTGTTTTCTCTCTGATCCCGCTATATAGGTGGATACCTACAGCCAACTGTACTCTTTTTGACCCAGATATAAAGATAAGTTGGTACATGTGACGTACTGCGATACACTAGAATCTCGTTTGGGGATGGAGGGGTCGAGAACCGTGTTCCTACCGCTTAATATCGTTTGGGGATGGAGGTGTCGAGAACCGTGTTCCTACTGCTTAATGCTTAATGCCACTAAAACTGAGTTGCGCTAGACTTTTGTGAGCCAAATAGTGAAATACAGGGTCTCCAGACACTATGTCATCGATACCCTCGATACCCATTTAATAGCACCTAAGCCATTAGCTTGAACTGTTTGCTTCGTTCATTGCAAGAATAGGAGTCTATCTCGCCGATAGGCAGGAGATGGATTCACCCATCTCATAGAGCGTTTTCACATGAGGTCAAAGCGGCCACATTGGTGTTCCAAAACAGTGAAACGGCGGTCATGTTCGTGCTCAAAACCAATCCAGTAGAAATTGAACTGCAGTAAATTTTCATACATGCTGGCCACGTGAGTGAAAACGCTCTATAGACTCTATACCACCGCCTTACTGCCCTTTTCCTATTACCTCGTGATCAGATTCGCTGCTTCCTGAGTGAATCCCAGTATCATCTTCTGACTTGACAGGAGAAAAGTCTTGATATCTGATGGGAGGTGTGGGTGGGTAAGGATCCCGCTCAGGACTGGGGGAGGGAGTGGGGCTGGTATGGTTTGAATTGAATACCAAGGGGGAAACTGGACGGGAGTCTCTTAAAATGGATATGGGAGAGATGGGTCGGTTTTGTGGGCTCCCCGGTCTTAGGAGATGATTTATCTGGTCAATCCGTCCTGGTAAAGAGGCAGTCTGGGAAGAGGAAAAGAACAGAGGAAAATTCCTTAGAATGGTGCTAAATCAATTCAATACCAATTTTTGGGATAGCAGAAATCTTTTTGACAAGTTCCATAACCGAGAGCTTGAGCATTTTGTAGTGAAGGTTAGCTTCTCAATAGGGAGTAATACCACGACGGCGAAGTCGACGAAAACGTCACTTAAAAAGGGAATTCACGTTCTCTCAATCTCTATCACGATTTTCCCAACAAGCTTACTTTGTCAAATGAAAGTGAACTCTTCTGGATTTGAATTCGAAAGAATCATATCCGAGTTCAGAAATAGAAAGAAACTTTCGTCGTCGCTTGTTTACGTCCTCCACAAAACGTGAAATTACGCATTTTAAAGTCGTAGTCGCGCAGTGACGGCAAAAGAATGTACAAATTCCCTATTAATGAACCGGTAACAACGTAAAAATGCTATACAGAGGACGGCAGAACAACCGCGACTGAGTTATAAACTTGTGCTAAAATTCTCAATCTTTGATGTTACATAAAGGATCATAATTTACGCATATTTGTAACAAAATTGCACATTAACAATAAGAGACAAATAAATTGCACATTCAAACTTACATCATCATCTCTTTCCTTGGGTAACACACCAAACGTGAATACACTGCCAGAGCCTCTCCTCATTGACGCCCCATAACCAGATGACGTCAGTGCATCAGACATGGTCGGCGACGGCGAACCCAAAGTTGATCCGAAGGTGGAGCCGAGCGTCGATCCGAGCACATTACGAAAGGGCGGAGCGGTAAAGGATCCAAAAGACGAGTCCAGGCCGGACAGTGAAGTGGCAAAGTGTTGCATTTCAAGCTGAAGAGTTGCTTTAATGAATCCGCGCCACGCTTGAAAAACCTTTCTGAGAAAACCTTCCTTCCTTGCTCGAACGTGATCCCTGGTTAGAGAATAAAAGAAAACCGTGTAAAATGCGTCAAACATAGATCTAAAAATACCGACTCGAGAAGAATCATAAAACTTCCTAGAGCGTTCACCTAAATCACATTGACGACTGATTTATTGGTCATATTAGCAGCTTGGCAATCAGTAAGACAGAAGAGCACTGCTAGCGACCAACTAGTGCAGTATCTGCCTGAGTGTTCACAACAGAGGATTGCAAAATTGCAATTTTGCACAGCAAGGGAAGGCTATTGGTTCACCGTTAAAAAGACTACTACAGAAAAATACAGCCATAACAAGTTCACTGTCCAAACTTTCACGGTATTTAAAAAGCTTTTTCGAGTCCCCTGCAAAGGGCGTGGGTATTCTTCAGTTTCTTGCTGGTCTTGTGTTCCGTCATCTGGTGATTGCACCATCTACAAATACTTGGAGTGAATCCTTAATTACATTAAACATAATGACGCAAAACATCGTTACCTTGCCCATTCCTCCACGCGGTACCTTCTGACCCACACGGCCCAGGCCTCCTTTATAATCATGGTCTTGTAGAACTGGTCAGCAGTTTCTTGTTGTAACAAGCGATAAGTTTTTTGTTGCTCAGCTGATCTCCGCCAATATCTGAAAGACCATCTGACCAGCAACGTACTGCGTGCCTACATAGAAACAGAACATTACTCTAGCGCGTGTGGTATTGATACAGGCGAGGAAGTGAAATTTTTATAAGCAGTATGATTTACGTTCTTTAACGTATTGTACACGCGAAGGTTTGTCTCATTTTTAATTTCCCCCATTTGTATCTCACCGGCAAGCATCAATTTTGTTATCCGAAATTTTACACGCGGCGAAAAGGTCGCTGTAATGTCCTTCTCGGGTTACGCGTCTTCCTTCACTTTCAAATGCGTTCAAGTCGTCTTAGAACTTTCTTTCAAGCACACGCCATGTCATATTTTTGTTGAAAATGCGCGTTCAAACTCGTGCAAAATGAGTGGAGCACAAGTATATGCTTAGGTATAGATTAGCTGAATTAATTTTACCGCAATGGACCCTTTGCAGAAAAACGGTCACAAGATACAAAAACGCCTTGCTGGATGGCAAACATACTGGGACCTTGAAAAGAAAGGATATATAGTGCCCATTGCGAGTTTGCTGCAAGGATCATTTACCTCTTTACCAGTCTCCTCAATCTTCTCCTCGGCCTTTACTTGTACTTTGTCTTTCCATGCACTGTAATACTTCTCCATCAGTTGAAATTTACGCGCCCGAACTTTTACTCTGTTATGCCGCTGCTCCTTTATAAAGGCTGTAGAAATCAAAGTGATCGATAAGTTCGACGCAAAATGTTAATATAAACTCCAAACAACAGGGCTCGAAAAAATCTTGGAATTCCAGATTGACCTTCGGGCAAGTAGCTCTCACATAATTTTGCCCTGGGTCAAATATTGCTCGTTTTATTTAAAGAGCAAAACGTGTCTGGACCCTTGTCCAATGGGCTACTAAACTATAAAAGTTACTTCCCCAGCAAGAAAATCTTTTTGTTCCGGATTATTGGACAGGACTATTTTCGAGACCTGAAACAGTTTCTATTTTTCTTGTGCCTTCGCGGAAGACTGACTCAGTAGTCTTACAAAGACTGATCAAAGAGATATAAACTCCCGTGCAACTATTACAAACACCCTCTCATCTACCCAGTGTACAACTATCTATACATCCCTCTTACATGTCTACGCTTACTTTTGATCAAATCAAAATCAAAAGCTTTATTTATACAAGATGACATTTAAAGCCTAGTAGTTTGAGGGCCCGTGTATAAATTCCTTGTTTTCAACACACGAGAAAAAATGGTTATAAATAAAGAAAAGACGTACATGCCGAGAGAGGAAAAGCATTAAGTTTACTAGAGGGTCAGACAGTATGAATACAAACACTTCCATGACACATTACATGTCTTCAAGGCTTGATGGTATCTTCATACCCTCTGATCAAATATTTAAAGACAGTCAAGGAGGGGTAAAGACTATTACCTAGCTTGGCTGCATATATTGTGAAACTAAGAAATTGCAAAGATTTCAAATACCTTTTTTTCCATACTTGGCGTCAAAACCTTATTTTCATTCACTTGGTACCAGCCGACACCTTTTCCCGCGCTTAACAGCGGCTGCTTACGATTTCCCGCGCTTTGGCGTAGGTTAACGGTTACCAGGTGCCTATTTTCCCGCCAATACTGCCAAGGCCAATGCAAATATCTCCATTCTAAAGCAGTTTTGCTTCGCGCCGTAACTGATTCATTGCGTCACTGCCCAAAAGTAGTATTTTATCCTTTAGCAAAGAAAATAACTCGAATAAATAAGAGTGCACTTACTTCTCCACGCATTAAACGCCCTCGACAGCTTACTATCCAGCAGCGTCTCCTTTACTTCTCTCTCCTTTATTCGCAGGTAGGCTCGCTCCCTGAAGTAAAAAAAGCAACAAATTATTAGGCTTAAAAAAAAATAATCGCCATCGCCTTAACAAACCCAAAGCTTACCTCCAAAACAGAAAGTGCTTGTCCAGGATTTTTTCAGTGGTTCTCGTCTTTTGATCAACAATGTGTTTTTGTCGATGCACGTGAAGCCGCCAAGCATCGAAGACCCTGAAAAAGTTACGGCAAAGGAGTTACATTTTAGGCTCTGTCGATCACTTAACACAACGTTAAATCAGCAGACTCGGATGACGACCATATGAGCTCTGTTGAACGTTCAGTTTTATTTTCTACGATATGAAACAAAACACTCGAAACATTTCAAATGAAACATTAAGGGTAATATTTTGCAAACGGGATCAGAAGTTAAAACTCGGGACGAACGCTCAAGCTAGAAGTCAAAGAGGGTCTCGAGTTCGGAACCTGTCAGTGTCCACGTTGGCTCCAGTTTCATCACTGAAGAGATTGGAGAATTGCGGTCGTTTCACTTTTTTTTTTTCTCTTTGGACTCTTCAGCGAAAAAGGTAACTTGGTGTAACAAAGGATTAGACAAAATGGCATGGTAGCACAGGCCAGCAAACACCAAATTAGGCTGCGCTCTTCCATTGTGGACCGCAATTAAAATTAACCTACCTTGCCATTTCTTTTCTTTCCCTCCTGGCCACCATGGGTGAGATGATCTGTTGTTCTTGGTTCACAACTCTCCAGCCCTGCAGAACTCTGGCTTTGTGGTTACGCGCAAGAATCGCTTGTGCTCTGAACACCTTCTCATTCTCTGCATCAACTTGACGTTTTTGATGTCTCCATTTCTTGAATATTCCTGATAGTAATAAAAGGTGTGTTAATAGACAATAGCGAACTGACGCAAAAGGACGGCAGAGGAAAGAAGACGGCATTGAACCTGGAATGGCAAGCCCCCCCGTGGGAGGACTCCCATATAAAAGTGACGGTCGGGGATACTCGTCGTTTCGCTTTGGGGTGAAAATTGCAGATTTTGGTCTCACTTAGGGTGTTTAGGAGGAAAGTCACTATATTCGCCCATCCAGGTATAGCTTAGGGCGGTGCATAAACAAATTTACAAAAAATGCCGTGATGTCAGTTTTAATATGGCTTCCTTTAGGGTTCAGTTTAAGCTTGATCCACACTCACATCCTGGGAACTAAAACTAAACGAACTGTCTTAACGAGTGTCGGTAAGATCCAGATCGAATTGGAGTTTGACGCGCTAGTTTTTAAGAAGAGGGGAAAACCGGAGTACCAAGAGAAAACCCCATGGGGGAAAGATACTTTAACGATAAACTACATGTAATCCTCACAAGGAGTCACCTCCAGTGCTCTCACCACTGCGTAAGACATTGTAACTCCTGCCATTAGTACCAGTGCAGTTGACTCCCGATAACTCGAACTTGCGGAACCCGAACTTTTTTTGATTTCCCTCATGAAGGTTCGAGTTATCGGGAATCGACTGTATCTAGATCTATCTAGACATAACCTCGCTACTTGAACGATAAGGGTGAAACATATTAAATTTACACCCTTTCTCTTCCACATAGTTTGAGCCAGAGACTGAAAATTCTCGGGTTATTTTTGGTCATACCGAGAGAGGCTAATATTCTTTCAGTCTTCTCGCCCACTTCTTTTTCTGATATCTCTCTGTCGTTTGCACTTTTTCGCCACATTTCGTAATCAGTCCTCGGCCAGTTGTTCAATCTGTCTCTTCCATCCGTTTTGCTATTTAGACTTGTTCGCTGATTTAGATTTAGACTTATTAACTTATTGTTATTTGGAGGTATTGACCGACAATTATTCTACTTGGACTTGCCGCATGTAAAATGAAACTACCCACTTTTCATGATCAACCGTTCCCAGACGCTGCGATTATCCAACAGTCTTTGCTCCAGGTATTTTCTCTTTAAAAGAATCTTCCACGCTTCAGAAGCTTTCCTGTTAAAAGTAAGGAAAAAAATTCTGATTCAAACCCTCCAACAGAGGACAAAATTAAATATTGGCGTTGGGCTGTCTTAACAAAGAGGAATTTAAATAAGAAAAACCAAAACCCCATTAACTTTATGACCGCTCACGACTTGCTCAAGGCTTAAGTTCAAGAACGTTCCGCATTACCTTGCACAGCGTCTTGACCAATTTAATCTCGCCTTCTTTCTGAAATTAACAACCTTTATGGCAAACAACCACCGATCCATTATTCGTCTTGAGGCAAGCTGATTCTTCTTTTCAGTCAACTGATGTAGCCTGTCTCTGTAAAAGAGAATAGAAAGCTCTTTAGGGTCTAAAGATCAGCGAGGACGACGAGGACTGTAACGAGAACGGCAAAGAAGCAACAGGTTCATCATCCCGTGAATGCGCAGTGGATATGCGCTGTAACGAAGGTGGCAGTATTTGATTTTTTCACTTTTTCAGAAACAAATTTGGCAATATTAGTGAACTTGACTGGGTTTTCAGCGTAAGGTATTCCCGGCAGATTTAACAGGTGTTCTTAAAAAAGGCGGGTGAAAAAGTTTCATTCTGCTACGAACTTAGTACTTCAAAACAACAACAACCGCTGGTACACCACATACTACGTGAAAAGCAAGTCTCGAGTCACGTCACAAAGTACACAACAATGATCCCTAGCCCTTACACAATAACACAATATACTATACTTCACACAATAGAACCACACAATAGTGCAAATATTGACTTGGCATATCGAGCATCTTCCCCGACACCTACCTAAGCGATTTTTTCATTTTCACATGTTCTTTCCAGTTATTCAACATAACGCCTGTTAGCATTCGTTCTAGAGTTCCCACAAAAGCTTTCCTCTTCTCCATCTGTTGTCTCGTGTAACTTGACCATCTGTTAAAGAAACGACGTTTCTTTCCCTGAAAAAAGATTGAAGATTACATACAACATGTTGTTAACGATGGGAATTTCTATGTGCAACTAACACGAGTTGGTCTCTGCCTTTCTTCAGTCATTTTCATTGTTCCACTCTCTACACGTGGGTTAGCCTGGGTTGCTGGCGCGATTACAGGGTTCGAACTCTGTTGGGCTCTTCAAGTTCCATGACTTTTTCCATGATATTTTTAAGTTTTCTAAGGCCTTAGGGTTAGTTGTCAGTTTTAAAAAAATTTAAAACCTTTCTTGTTTTAGGGTATTTTTTGACCTTAAACAGTTTAACAGACTTAAACTCTGGGCCCAGTTGCTCGAAGTATGGTTAGCGTTAACCAGCGTTTAATACCTTCACAACGTATTGGTTTTGATACTGCTTAACCAATGGTTAAAGCTAACCATGCTTTGAGCAACTCAGCCCTGGTGTCCACCAAAATGCGTGCCGTTTGCGCTGTTTAATTACTCCTTCTATCTTACATTGTCCTTGCCTTGACATCTGCAGTAACTAATCTATCACACAAAACTTTAATTTTTCATGACCGACAACTAAATTCCATAACTTGCCAGGCCTGGAAAATGAAATTCTTAAATCCCACGACTTCCCAGGTTTTCCATGACCTATACGAGCCCTGAATTAGCTGGCGAGTGCTGTTGCTTTTTGGCGGCGGAGCCACAAGAAGATTGGGAGCAAGTTTCCTCGTGGCTTCGTCGTCGCTTGCGAAAATCCCTCGAGGCTCGGCCGCAGCCAGGAAAGTAGGGACTTTAAGATACCACGACGGCGACGACAACGAGAACGTCAAAAAGCATTAGGATGAATAGGCAAAACAACAACTTTGCACGTGCATCACGCTTTTTTGCTATTTCTTTACCGTCACTGCACGACTACGACGGCAAAATGCCTAACTTCACGTTTTATGGAAGACGTAAACAAGCGACGGCTAGATTTTCTTTCTCTTCCTGAACTTGAATATGGTTCTTAGGAATTCGGCTCAAAGAGAGTTTACTTGCATTTTATAAGGCAAATGTTTTTTAAGGGACGTTTAACTTTTCGTGCCGGCCGTCACCGTCGTGGTATCTCAAACTCCCTAGTAGCACGATTAAAATCCCGCCAGCTACGCAGGCAACAAACGGATACTTCTCTGAGACAAATACTTCGTGCCGCGCCCAACGGCCTCGGTTTTAGAGAAAGTGAACTATATATGTAGCCAACTATTCTGAATAGACTTCTTACCTTTTTGGCCAAAGCCCTACAGAGATGTCGATGGATGACCTTTCTCTTGTATCGCAGAAACCACAACTTGAAAATCTTCCTACAGATAGCGACAAACAAGCATTTAATTAGTAAATACGATAGCCTGCGAACAAGCACTCCATTTCGAGTGTCGAGCGGAGTGACCCGCGACCGTCTCGTCTCGCGTGCCGCTCGCGCGTGACTTCTAACCACATCCCCCAGATAAGAGATACAACCAGTTGCAAAACTGATGATACACTCCGACGTAAAACCGGCCTTTCTTACTTCAGACCACTGTTAGTCACACGTATGTGAGATATAATACTCACCTCCTCCTTCCATTCAAAGTTGTTCCACCAAGTTTTGAGCATGGGTCTGTATTGCTAACAACTTTAATAATGGGAGGAGAGGGAATCACAAGCACAAGATCATAAACAGGCCACTCAAGTCAAATTAAGGGACAGTGTCTCAAGTTTTTTGTTTGTTTGTTTTATTTTTGCAACTGGTTACAGCTTGCAGTCTATGAAAATATCACAGTAAGTAGCATCGTTTACGCCTTTCCAGAACAGTTACGATTCCAGTTGGCAACTAACACCACTCCTGAACCCGACTCTCGAAGCTATCAAATTAAGCCTTGAAGCAACTGAATTAGTACCCGATGGTTTCCGTCGAGTTCCTAGGATCAAACTGACTAGAAGTGTCCCAACCGCTCTGACCAATAAAATAAACGCTTAAACAATCAAATCAGTGACAAACCTTTGTAGGACACTGCTATATCTTCTGTCTGCCCGTCTGTTCATCAACCGGATTTGCCAATGATTAAAAGCATTTTTCACAAGTTTATGACGATGGTATTCTTTGCACATGCTCTGAAACCGCAGACGAATGATCCTGTCAAAAGATAGAGAAGAAGGCATTAAGAAAGCACTGCTGGGTTCCATTTGATGAATGAAATCTCCAATTTTTATCTATGATTCATCAGATTTCATGGCCGTAAGAATACAAGATTAAAAAAACCTTCACAAGGATTTACAATTAAAAAATAAAATGCCAACAAAGGAGGGAGCGGGAGGGAAATCACGTGACTTACTTTGCATATTGCGTCCAGTTCTTCCAGCAATAGAAAGCTTTTACGACAACGCGTTTCCTAAAAAGACAACGACGAGATACGGTTCTAGATATGTACAGTAAGACCTTTAAAATTATCCCTAGGGTTGGAACGGGATAAACGATGTGTACTCCCCCACTCTACCCCCATGTGGTATACCCGAAAAAGCCGTCACGGGTTCGGCACGGTACGGTACGTCCAATCCAAGTAAAAGCTATTTATATGTACAGTAAGCAGGTAAGACCTTAAAAAGTATCCCTAGGGTTGGAACGGGATGAATGATGTGCACTCCCCCACTCTATCCCCGTGTGGTATACCCGAAAAAGCCGTCACGGGTACAGCACGACACATCCAATCCGAGTAAAAACTATTTGAAATAGACTTACCCCACCCATCTTAAAGCTTATGTTACACCAGACGATTTGCAACGATGATTTTCAGCGCAACACAGCGTTGCAATGTTGGTACAATATTGCAACCATTCGAAACAATGTCGCAACAATGCTGTAATGCTATGTTGCTCTAAATATTGCTGTTGGGAAACGTCCCGTGTAACATCAAATTAACGCAATAGACGTTTTTGACCCACGCAAGTCAACTGGAAGTGGACTTTTTGCATTCTTGGGCGGTGGTTTTACTTAAACTTTCAGGCAAATTGTCTCTACAAGAGTAAAGACACTTAGCAAATGAATACAATTTTGGTAGTGTTCAGGCATGTTAATAAGGAAAAAGCTACACTTCCAGTTGACTTACATCGCCCAAAAACGTCTTTGCTAAAGCTCTCTCAGTCGTACTCGTACTTACGAGGCTACGCTGTGCGCTACAACAGCCCTCTTTGTGTTTTCTTTCCACACAGTAAACATTCTGGCTTGCAAGTGTTCCTCATAATGAACTCTTTCAACAAAGAAAATATCAACAATAAATGATTATTACCTAGCCAAATATTAAGCGCTTTCCGCTTTAAAATCACATCTTTCGCCGTCAAGAAATATTTAATTTTGCTCCAAGGAATCTGCACTGAAATTTGCCTCTCCACAAAAAAAAAACGAACAAAAAGCAGAAAAAAAACTGTGGCACTGACTAAGTTAACCAATAGGTTATACAAATTGATATCTTTTTTATTCTTTATAGGCGTTTTAATTTGCACTACAAACGACGCACATTTTTCATTCAATTATTGTCGCCACTATACTACATACATCTTTCGCTCTAAGATAATTTCTTGCTAAAAGTTCGCTCAGTAGAAATGATCACTGAAATTTTCAACGATGATTTTAAAGACAATACAGTCCTCCTCGCACAACAGGGATCTCAGTTAGGTCATAAAAACACACAAACAAGTTGCAAACGCGCTTAAAATCTCTTACCTCGCTACTTCCTTAAGCCGTGTTTTTACAATTCGCTGCGTAGTATACAGTCTCCAGCAATGCCAGCTTTTCGTCAACAGTCCAATTCTGGTCAGAAAAAATATACCTTGAAAGTTAACTTGGATGTGATCATATTTGTGAGAACTAGCATTTGAAAATGTACATGAACGCGATCCCGAGAAAGATGATTGTGTGCTATACGTATCCCAGTTTTCGGCAGACAAATCTTCCCCAAAAATTCCCATATTATGTTGAAGAATCAACCGAAAAAAAAAAACACTGAGTTTTCAGGGTGAGCGAGTAGAATATTTTCAAATGCAATCAGTTCAAAGTCCTATTTCAATTTAAAAATTTATGGCTCATAAAATCAACGGCGGTCTTTGAGAGCTGTTAAAAAGAGTTATGCATAATTAAGAATAATTAAAACTCTTGAAAGCTCTTTGCCTGTTAATAAACTGTGAACGGACAAGACCAAAAAAAGGAATGTCGTGGAAAATTTTTTCACAACAAGTTTGCTACTTTTTTAGTAAAAAAAACATGAAATTCAAGTGATGAGGAAATAAAAAACCCGGAAAATCTAAGAGTTATACAAGCTTTCAGGTGATTCGTCGAAATTGAGTGTCGCGAATTACAGTCGTTAAAAAAAGAAATTCATGCAGTGATAAACGCGGCGAAAAACACCTGTTGAGTAATTTCACTTTTAAGCTAATAATCTCACCTTCGGTCAATGATCAATACGTGAACTTGTAAATTATTCAGAAAAACCTTAATATTCTTATCCCGTCTCTTGTTTGTACAAACAGATACTTAAAACAACTTGTTCCTTCACCAAAACTCAACATCTGGTAAACTTTGTTCAAAGAATTTTAATCAAAATTCCACCCAAATAAAAAAAAATCAGGTTCATTTAAGGTATAGTGGAAACGCCAACGCTGCTTTACCGTAAATTAAATACTTTTAAAGGATTTCAGAAAAGGATCACTAATTTTCATAATTCGGCGTTTCTACAATACACATGTAAGTGGAAAACAGAGTTCTTGAATAGATTTCCCATGATATATTTTGGCAAAATGTGAAGTTTCGTACAGTTTTCCCTAAACCCAAGGGAATCGAGGAAGTTTAAATTTAAATAACAAAAAATATATAAGACAAAAGATCGCTGAGGTAATAGTTTCTGAAAGCCACACATTTCACTCAATTCAAATAAGCCAGTTAATTTACTATCACAATTTTACATTTTACCACTTTTCTGCTAACAGAACGACTTTGTAGACGCTAAGAGGCAGGTAATCCCAGTGATTTCTGGGTATGACTCACTTAAAATGAAGAGATGCTAGTCCATTTTTCTGTTCAGTCTCATACTTCACTTTCCACTTCGTGTAGTTCCGTGACAAAACATGTCTATCAGCCATCCCTTCCATCATTGTCTCCCTAAAAAATAAATTTACCTTTTTCACTAAACGTTTTAGTGGACAGTTCCTTAGTTTTGAGTCCCAAAGGTGATCAACATCAATTTTCTCCTAACAACATCCATACAAATTCAAAGAAAAGGTTCTGAGAATTAATGCCATGATCGTCATCATTTTCATCATCACCCGCATCATCATCGCCATCATCACCTTTATGATCGTGAGCGCATAATACTAGATGGGTACGGTGGCTTCTAGGGACAAAACACTTCCCAGAATCCAAAACACTTCCCAGAATCTGAGACGTGTTTTTGGATTCTGGGAAGTGTTTTTGGATTCTGGGACGTGTTTTTGGATTCTGGGACGTGTTTTTGGATTCTGGGAAGTGTTTTGGATTCTGGGACGTGTTTTTGGATTCTGGGAAATGTTTTGGATTCTGGGACGTGTTTTGGATTCTTGGACGTGTTTTTGGATTCTAGGAAGTATTTTGGATTCTGGGACGTGTTTTTGGATTCTGGGAAATGTTTTGGATTCTGGGAAGTGTTTTGGATTCTGGGACGTGTTTTTGGATTCTGGGAAGTGTTTTGGATTCTGGGACGTGTTTTGGATTCTGGGAAGTGTTTTGGATTCTGGGACGTGTTTTTGGATTCTGGGAAGTGTTTTGTCTCTAAGAGCCACGTTAGATAGGCAATCTCGAAGTATGTTTCAGCGAACAGTTTTTTTAAAACAAGTTTCACTGATGGAATTTCATTTTTTTCAGGGATCAGAGACAGCGGGTCACGATTATTATTATTATTATTATTATTATTATTTTTCTAAACCTTCTAGTAGCGTGCTCGAACCGGCTTACCTATTCTGGCTGACTTTAAACACGTGCCATCTATCAAACGCTTCTTTGAGCCTCACTGATACCTTCATCTGCATACACTTCTGCCACTGGATAAGAAATATGCAAAAAAAAGTAACATTTTCTTTTATATTTCGCCACTATTTTCCTGTTTGACATTTGAACGTTTTAGTGAGTGGGTGAAAGGCCGACCATCAAAAGGAACCCGCAACTCGATAAACATGCAGAAATGGCCTGCTCAAAACGGACAAGAAAAAACGTGCTACTTGTTTCGAAACATTGCTGCAAAACGAATGGAATAACGATGTTGCGCGTTTTACCACCCTCGAATCAAACCTGTCTTGCAACAAATCAGGTTGCGAAAAGTTGTTGCTGAAAGAGGAGGGCAGTTCTACTTTTTGCAGAAAATCTGTTCATGTTGGGCGTTTTACTGACCCAAAGCAAATTTGTTTTGCAACAAGTGACGTAACACCCGTTTCTGGGGTGACTCCCGCGTAATTTTATCCAATCAGAAGTCAGTATTCACGCAGCTTACAACAACCTGAGTTGTTCCAAGAAAAGGTTGACCCATGGTGGTAAAGCGCGCAGCATTGCTTTTTCACTCGTTTTGCAGCAATGTATCAAAACAAGCTGCACGTTTTTGTTGGCCGCTTTACTGAAGCTTTACGCGAGATACTACCGCGTGTAATATAATGAACGTGTTTGTGAAAGAGTCGCGTGCTACACCCTTGATCAAACAGCTAGCGGTCTCTCGTTTTTCTTCAAAGATAATTGCGTGCACACGCACCACATGAGCAGCAAGGACACGAGACGCGAGAAACGAGGGCATAAGCCTCGGAAGAGAAAATCGGAATTCCGCCCTCGCGTGCGACAAAGATAAAGGAGTGCACACGCACTACGCAAGTAGCAAGGACACGAGCCGCGAGAGGGCATAAGCCTCAGCAGAGAAAATCAGAATTCCGCGCTCGCGTGCGGCAAAGAAGTGCAAACGTACTACGCAAGTAGCGAGGACTCGAGACGCGAGAAACGAGAGTATCAGCCTCGGTCGCATGTCCCATCTAGTGGCCTAGCCAATCGCGTGTTAAGAGTGTCACCGCACCAACTTCGAACTAAAACAAAAAAAGTATTTTAAAAAAAGTAGCTTGTTTTTATTTACCTTTAACCAATACTTTGCCATAACCCTTGCACTGGTTCTGGTCTGCAGTTCAACTAGGGATTGCCTTTGTTGGGTGACAGCAAATTGTAAAGCTTTTATTCCTTTCTGGAGCATTTGCTTTCGTCGCAGTTGATCAGCTTTTTCCTGCTGGGCGCTTCGAGCATTTCGCCAAGCTACAAAGCATTTGTGTCGCATCTCTGTTTGCCAGAAAGTCACAGCACTTGAACCAGAAAACACAGACAAGTCATTAAAGCAAGTAGTGGTTCTCTTTGTGTTCAACAACTGGCTTCACAAATTTTAAAAACCTATGATATGCTGCTACTGTATAGTGAAGACAGTGAACAAGCTATATAATACACAGTGAAGACGGTACAGTGATGGTGCAATTTGAGGTTTACTTTCTCCTGTATCACTGGCTCACAAACAAGATTTTTGCTGGAAGGAAACCTAACCGGGATAAAGAAGTTAAAAACGTTCTGCGTTTATTTAAAAATAAAAATCATAACGACGACTACTTTAAGTGAACTACTTGACAAGGCACCACTTAAAAGGGATTACAGTTAAAACCTTTCAACGCACCTTTGTAACTTGACTTCATCTTCTTGCTTGATTAACCTTTTAAGCCTTGTTTTTTGGTACCAGCGACGAAACAGTCGACCCTAACAACAAGGACAGAGATTGATAAACAACAAGTGGCTATCAGCATAATCAATTGCAAATAAGCAAGAGAAGAACACAAACTCTTCTTCCTTGGTGTTTTCAGGACATTCTTTAAAATTCAATGTCACTACAGTATAGCGTACTCACTTTTACCAGAAGGTCCTGGTAGGAATTTGCATTAGATGTACGTGATGCTTCTAACAACTTCATTGCCCAAAGAGCAGAAGATATTCTTTGTGATGTGTCCACTGAGAATGAGTTTCTGAAACTACATGGCAAAGCATAAGAAATTTGACACGAGTAAGTAAAATTGCAGCCGAAACTTCACTGTTACAGGTATACAAGAACAGTGAGCTCTATGCCACAAAAGTACGGTAAAATGAGCAAAAAAACGTGCAATTTGTTTTGCAACAGCAGGGCTCGAAATTAACGGTAACCCGTTAACCAATGGTTAGTAGATTCTTACGTTTGGTTACTAAAAATGAGCCTTACTATCCCAACACGGTTAGTAAAAATTTCTGTCATTGAAAATCTTACATCTGTTTCTCTTTTGCATAACATTGTGTTCTATCTTCATCAATTTATTGTTCTAAAAGATATGCTTACAGCATAATCGAACGACATGAAAACGCTCATTTCACGGAACTCAAGGTAACCAGGCTTTTGTTGGATGGGAAGACACAGCTATAAGAAGGTTCCCTGCACACGCAGAGGGCTTATGAAGAAAGAAAGAACTTTCCACCAAGAATCGAAAAAGGCATTCACCTGGCCACCGTTCGATGACTCTAAAAAACAAACAACGCTTTGCACTGTTTATGGTGAAATTTCCCCCCCTTGAGTAACGTTATTGAAAGCAAAATGTAACTGAACATTAAATCTTCTATATTATTTCGTTTTTCAGATCATCACGCAATTTGAACCAATCCATCCATTCATTAGTTTGCCCCATTTTTAGCACTACTTTTAAGAGTCAAAACATTGTTATTTCAAGAACAGATTCTTGGATAAAAATAGACTTTACAGTTTGGTTAGTAAAATTTATGCCCACTAACCTGAAGGGTTAGTTAGCCAAAAAATTAATATCGAGCCCTGCAACATTGCTGCAAAATAAGTTGGTGGCGTGTTGGTGGCTATATTGCGCGTTTTACTAGCCATATTTAAACCTGTCAACAAATCAGGTTGCTGCAAGTTGCGAAAATTTGTTGCAGAAAGTAGAGAGTAGTTCTACTTTTCGCGACAAAGTCTAAAGCTATTTCGAGAACTGTTGTCGGAAAAACTGTGCACGCGACAATCCCTGTTACTGACACTGTAGCTGTCGAAAATACTTTTGTTGCTTTCCTTTAGCACTCACAAACATACGTTCATGGCCTCTTGTGCCATTCTTTTAAATTTCGTTGAAGAACTGTGAACTCAGTGCTACCCACAATACCTTTCGGAATTGTCGCGTGCACTTTTTCCACCAACCTTTCTCGAAATAGCTGTATACATGTTGCGCGTTGTACCGGCCCAAGGCAAACTTGTTCCGCAGCACGTGACGTAACTCCCGTGTATGGCCGCGTGACTCCCTCGTAAATTTACCCTGTCAAAAGTCATGCAACTTGTAACAACCTGATTTGTTGCAAAACAGGTTTGATTCGTCGGTGGTAAAACGCGCAACACCGCTATTCAAGTCGTTTGCAGCAATGTTGCGAAACAAGTTGCACGTTTTACCCTAGCTAAAGAGAGAATTAGTGTGGCTTGTTCACTGACTTTCTAGCTGACTGAACGATCAAAGGAAAGATCTGAAGCGAGGGTGAAATCGAAGAGTGGGGAGACATTAAAAATATGCAGGGGTGTGAGGCTGAAGCGCTTCGTGCAAGAATCCCACGCCGGTGCTTCGCATCCTGAAAATCGGATTTTGAGAGCCGAAAAGCCGACTGTTTTGCAGTCTAAGAAAAAGAAAAAGGACAGTCTTTCAGCATACTGAAGCAGGCTATTGTCCCGCCTGCACGTGTTTAGAGCTATTACCAACTTTAGCTATGCAGTCCACAACTCAAAAACATGCGTTGTACCTTAGTTCTTGCAGATATCCTCTTTCATCATCATAGTCATCAAGTGAGTGCTCTTTCTTGCTGCTAACATTTTTTCTGCTGATCTGTGATATAGACTTAGTAGGTGGTGAGTTCTCCGGGCTGGAATTCACACTTCCGCTAGACAGCAACTCCTCAATTGTCAACCTAGCATCTCCGCTTGACCTCGGAGTGTTATTGGGACTGAAATCCACTTTACTGTTTGACAGCTGCACAAGCTGATCCCGTTTTGTTGCAAGCGATGAACCCGTACTACCTCTATCAAATGACAGGTTTACATTGGACTGTCTTGGAAATCTGTTTGAACTTTGAGATAAACTTGATGCAAAAGAGCTTTTCTCATCGTACAGAGATAAAACTTGAACTGAGCTTGAATTTGAATGGTGATCATTCGGCACACCATTAGTATCTCTTGTGGGAGGGGAGGGTGGAAGAGGCATGCTTTCCTCACCAGAATCAAAATATTTCCTTTCCAGTGTTACCATATGTTGCCTTGGTTTTGGATCAATGTGCTCTCCTAGGTCTGCGTTTTGAGCCCGCGGTGGTCTAACAAGGTCTGACCTTAATCCCTCTGTGAATGTAACATTGCTCTGAACCTTACGTGCTCTGGGCATCGCAGTTACATCTGTTAAAGCCCCATGCTTTTCACTGCGGCCTTGATCTGGGGCATTTGATTTGCTTGGTTTGTCAACATCTTTCACCGAGCTTGCGAATGAAACTGATTTGGGTGAGTGTTCTTTTTTGTGCCCTTCATCATCATCATTATGTCTTTCTCTTTTTTGCACAGACTCCCTTGATCGTTGTAAAAACTTATCACGCACTGTACCCTGGAAGCCAGAATTCATCATACTGGCATTTGAAGGAAAACTCCTCTTAAGTCTCTCCAAATAGCTGGCAGGTTCACTATCCCTGTTAGCGATACTATGATCAGCTAAAGAAGTCTTGTGAACGGATAATTCAGGAGAAACAACTATGGAAGGAGTTTTTATTTTAACACTACTTGCAGCAGACCTTGTGGTCATGTCATGATAGCCATTTCGCTGAGGTTCACGAGAAATTCTCTCCACTCTTTGTTTACCACTCAACATCACATTTGACTGCCGATAATATAAACTTCCATCAAACGGCTTGGACACATTGGTCTGGTGACCACTGGAAGCCATACAATTGTTGCTGACTCGATTCTGCTCGGCAGATCGACTGCTGTTGCCTTGCGAGTGGCCTAATGGGTCATGGTCAGGTGACTGGTTAGTAGGGAGTTCCATTGCTGAGCTGAAAGGATTCGAAACCTCAGCATCTAAGAACGTGTGAATATGATGAGCTGCAAAAGAGGTTAAGTGACACTGGTGTAAGTTAAAGTAAATTAGCATTCACATACAACATGTACATTTTTTAGACATACATTTCTTCAAGAGTTATTGATCATTTTCAAAAGCTATATCAAACACTTAAAAAAGTGTTTCAGATAAAGGCTCCAAAGCCCTTTGTTTAGCTTCATCTATTTAAACAAAGGATAAAAACATTCCTCTCCATGTTTAATACACATGTACTAGGTCAAGACCAGAAAAGAATAACTTGGAGCTATTTTCATTCACCCTTTAAATTTATTGAAAATATTTATTTGTTCATTTGGAGACGTACTTAAGTTTAAAATATAGAAGTTTAACATAACTTGTCAGATCAATATACCCAGTACATCCACTGGTTATACTATTGTACCTTTTGCAGTTGCATGGTAGGGAGGTCTGGAAACCATTTTTGATGGTGAAATGAAGTCTGTGGGATGAGCTGACCTGTGAAAAGTTTCCTGAAAAACATGCAAACACCTGAGATAAGGTACGAAAGAGAAGTGGCGTGCAAGCATCTTCAGCCCCTGCTCTGCACATTATTTTTGTACATTTTCTCAGAATAACAGAACTTCCTTTTCATCAGGTCAAAAGAACCAGTCACATTTCACAGGTCAGAAGTAATAGATTACTGTCATGGGACTATGATTCCACAGAGCAATAACACAACAGCTCAGACTAATCTCACATGGCATGTGTAACCTCAGAGGATCCCCCCCACTACAACAAGTATAATCATCCTCAGTTTATTACATTTAACCTTTTAAGTCCCAAGAGTGACCAAAGTCAATTTTCTCCCAACAAAATCAATACATAATCCAGGGAAAATGTTGTGAGAATTAATGAAATGATCTCCTGATGGAAAACTCTTTGATCAGCAAACAAATTCTCTCAACTAATTCTTTAAGGAAATGTATGGAGATCAGTCTGGAGAATTTGTATTTGTATCAATTGTGGAGCTTGTGGACCAGATCAGCTTTTGCGCAAAAACTTGATATCTTCACATGTGAAAATAACATGTTATCTTCACATGTGAAAATATCACCGTTGCTATGACTACATAATAAATCGCACCTTTCACACCAAAAAACTATTAAAGTGAAATGGTTTGGTAGTTCATTGGTGTTTATAAAATAATTAGATGCCCTCACTCGTGAAATATTTTTCAACACTCGAAGAGAAAAATCGTATCTCCGCACAGCCAAGTAATATCCTCTATATTTCAGTATGATACTGAAGTTAACGCCGTGAGATTTTTTGTTAGTAAGTCAGAGGAATGCATTGGACAAAATTAATGTTCAACATACTGACCTTTAAAGTAACTGGTAAATCATAAAAGGATAAATCAGACCACTCCAGCTCCTCTTCAGAGCTCTCAATGCTGGCTTGCCGTGGGATGGTTGGGTTACTTGTCGGTAAATCCCACTTTAAACCTTGGGACCAGGTTTGATCCACGTGACTACTACCTATGGGATGAATAAACAACAAAAATTGAACATAATTTTTTTAGAACAATACTGTACCAGTCTGTGAGGACAACTTGCATGCATATACATGTAAATAGATTGATCGGGAACAAGAACAGATAGGACAATGCTGAAGAAAGATGACAAAAACATGTAACTATTTGTACAAGTACAACCAACAGTAAAGGTATTAATTTACCTTTCGTCCTTGAGAAATCCAGTTTTAAGTTAAATCCATTCTACGAAATGAATAACAAAATTATATAAAATAATATATTAAAACAATCAACAACTTGTCCTTGAGAAATCCAGTTTTAAGTTAAATCCATTCTACGAAATGAATAACAAAATTATATAAAATAATATATTAAAACAATCAACAACTTGTACAGACCAGCATAAAAGTGATCAACTTACTATTTCATGGCTATCAAAGAGCTGTATATTGTACTACTATGAGTAGGGTGTAAGTATTGCATATAATGTACTATAAATTACAGAAAATAAAACAACATAACTTGCAATTGACAGAGACAGCTGGTACTTCCTGGAAAGTTACATGTAGCTTACTATTTCTGTTATAATAAAAAAGCTAACTAAAATGACTTACATGCACTGCAATTAAATCACCATGTACTTAATGTGATGTAGAGTTTTAATTGGTCATGAATTTTAGCTGATAAAACCCCCTTGCATAAAGAAGACAGTATACACCAATCAATAGCAGTCATGGTCGAAAGGCTATTTAAAAGGCAATTCATGAATCATTTCTATGCCAAATATTATGTGGTACAAAAGATGAAATAAATCACAGGATGCTTTCACCAATCACAAGAGGAATAGTCACTGACAAAAACATGAAGTATCAAACAGGAAATACTGCATCTAAAAATGAAGCCTACACATGTTTTTTTAAGACAACAGAATTGGCCTCATCATGGGGTTCAGTTGCTTTCCTTGGTTTTAATAGTTTAAACCACTTTGATTTTTGCTGCCCATCACCTCAGTTTATGGTTCACCATACAGTATAATAGATTTGACACAACATAAAGCAAGACAAAAGTTAATTAAATTACTTTTAAAAAATTTAAGCCAAATAAAAATTGAAACTAAAACCTTTTAAATTTACTCTACTGTGTATGCAATCAGAGCCAGATATCTTTTGATTAAAGTTGCACATACATTGTATCTGGTCAATGAAATTTTAACCATGAAAAAGAATTAAAAGGTATAACAACATTTTTAAAATGCTGAACAGCCTTTTCACCAACGTTGTTGAAATTATATTAGTATAATTTAATTTACATGCATGACATCAGATACAATGTAATATACCTCGACATTGATTGATCCTATCTCTTAACAGCTAAGATGTTCATGTAAAAGTAGCCTAGCCAATCACAGATTTTCCTATTTACCCCACAATATATTGTATACCCATACAAAGTATAGAGGTACTGGATGACTGAGTAAAGCTGTATACAAGTTATTATGTTCAAGGTATAACGTGATCAATGTACTCATAGAGAGTAAATTGATCATTTCTCCTTGGTTACTGTACAGCAAAACAATGTAAGAGGAATAAACCAACAACTTACCAATACGATATCATCTGAATTTTACATCACTGCCCACAACTTAAAACCTTATCTACTATGAAAAATATTCAACACATCATCAGATGGTTTAAAGTCATTGTTATCTTCTTGATGACTAAAATCAGAGTAGAAGCCATTGACTCATTGTCAGTGTTATAAAAGAAATTTGCAACCCAAATTAAGCAGAACAAAACTTTGATATTGACAATCCATTAACAGTTCTGACAGCTTTGTATAAGGTGCCAAATAAAGGATGGAAAAAGACAAAAATTCATCACGTCAGCTCTGCATCATATCAGAGAGATTAACAATATTCAACTCTGCCTGATTAAAATCTTTGGTTTTAAGCTGACAAACAGGCTTTATACTCCCTTATATTGTATTGTGTAATGAAATGGATAATAAAATTAATGATAGTAGTCTTTGTTAAGGAAGTCAGTAATTTTCTAAATTGGAATGCCCATTGTTTTGTTGATACATGCTTTTGTATAAATTACGTATTGTTTATTTTCAAAAATTCCACAATCACTAATCAATACAAAGTAATGCTGTAGGTTGGTTACTGATTACAAAAGAAACTAAACACTTTCTACTGTACATGGACATGACTTTGTACATAATTATAATGAAGTAAGAAAATACATATTTTCAAATTATAAGGGTATACACTATACAGCTGCACTATTCCAGCTTTTGACTTACACTGTAGGCTGATCCATATTTATCAATAAATCTTGTTCAAATACAGTGCAGTTATGGTTAAATTTAGAGCTTTTTTTTTTCTTGAAGTGATATTAAGCTTTTGCCATTTAAGCATTTATTTTGCAACACTTTTCTTTTAATTCAGCTTGTAAGCCCCCCACCCACCTGCCAACCCACCCCTCCCCCTTCAGATAACAGGCCCACCAAAACTCACTTACATATGAAATTCCGGGTGCAAAGAAAGTCATTTTAAAAGCTTGCCATTCAGGAAAGCTGAAGCTAGCATATACTACCCCAAACGTCATTTCAACTAGCCCCAAAAACATTTTGATGAGCAGAACTGATTTCACAGTTCTTCTGTAATTTGAATTCTTCAAAAAACTTCACTTGCCCGTCCGGCAAGTTAAGAACAGAAGTCACTAACCCGATAGCAAAATCCACTAGCCCTGGGGCTGTCGGACACTACTTTCTTTGCACACTGTATGAAATTGTGTACGCACAGGACTGATAACTAGGATTTTCCTTCTTCTGCGCAAGAAGTACATGTACTCCCCCCCCCCCCATTTGGCCCTTAGAGTTACATGCCTCTGGACAGGGTACAGGTTTTTTTGGCTCCTAAATAAACAGATAAAATGAATAGTATACATGCAAGGATCTTCTAAAACAGGGTCTTAATTTTTCAGCCTTTGGGAATTTTTTTTGTGTTGAGATGCAGGACACAGGGCTACCAAATTCATTGATTAAGTACACCTGTAGCTCCTGGGGTTCCCACTGTTTCAATGTTGGCTGCAGCCACAGAGGTTGCATTCTGAATTCTCACCACATAGTTTATATATTACAATATGGGCTTGATTACCAGCTATTTTTTGCAAAGAACTATTGCAGATCTGCAATATGAGGTGAGAATTTTGAGACTGTGAAAAAGTTAGGGTATTTTTTTCTTTGTCAAAATCACTTTTTCAAGGTATGAACTGCCAGTGTAGTATCAGAGTCTCACATTAGCAAACCGTGCAAGCCTCATATGCCCATAATTCACTACACAAAAATACGGACTGTTTTGCAGTCTACATGTACACATAAATAGTGGTTAGACACCGTGTCTTACATGAGAAATATGATTTTTCAGTCTGTCATGGTGACACAGGCGGCTCGGAAGAAATAAACCGGGAGCTCCCGATAGAATGTCAAACCTATTTCCTTTTGGTTATTAGACTGGATGTTCTACCAATAAGCTACAGGAGGCATGTGGGAGCTGAGGTCACTACACTAGGCTCATGCAGGGTGTTCATTTAGCATCGGAGATCTGAGAATTCTCCGTTTTCTAGGCTAAATTCTCCGGCTGACGTTTGGTAGCCTATGACTAATTTTTAGTCAAACATGGAGCTTTTTTCAAAATTTTTTCCCATAACATTACACCTTTCTACAGCTACTAGATTTATTCTTAGCGAAACCCCTGCTCATGTGACAAACATCTAGCATACTGCTTGGACTGGAATATCAATTATGTGCTAATGCACAATGATAGAAATGTGATGGTGAATTTTAAGCCTGGTGAACACATGAGAAACTAAGACGATTAGTGACACAAGCAGCTCAGCAGCTCATTTCTATCGATGTCTTACACATGATCAATGGAAATTATCAACTGTACAGCACAGGCTTCAACCCATCCAACATGCACTTATGCACTACCATATCATTCTCACACTTATCAGGCAGTAAGCCACTGTAATCCATGGCTATATCCACATTGACCTCGCAATGATGAGATCATGAAAATGAAAATAAAAAACGTTTTTCCCAATGCTGACACAAGAAATGAATGTCAACAAAAAAGGAGAATTTGTATTTGAAAACTGAGTATTATCTGGGTGCAAAGAAAATCATTTTTACAGCTTGCCCTTCGGGCAAGCTGAAGCTAGCATTTACTAGCCCAGACGTCATTTCAACTAGCCCCAAAAACGTTTTGTTATTCTGTTATTCAAATTCCTCATAAAACATCACTTGCCCGTCGGGCAAGTTAAAAACAGAATTCACTAGCCCGATAGCAAAATCCACTAGCCCCGGGCTATCGGACAGTACTTTCTTTGCACGCTGATTATCAATGTTGTTATTACTACTACTACTACTGCTACTGCTACTGCTACTGCTACTGCTACTACTACTACTACTACTACTACTTTTAGTTGTTGATTACACTGTTAAGTTCAGTTCCCACTGGGATCATTAGCCCCTTTATAAGCTGCTCCTCGTGAATTTCATACCACCTGATGCTGAACAGTTTACTTGTGGCTGCTTATTTGTATCATACTACTTTTGCATCTCTTTTTTAAAATGATCTGACTCTGACTTTTGCTCAGCATATCTTGCTAATGGCACTAATATGAACTTAATTCCAGCTATTCTTAGTGCTCTGTATATTACTTTTCGCATATATCCCTTATATTTTCATGCTTTTGCTGTAACTCTTAGTGGTATAATAAACTCGATTGATGGTGGCTCCCTCCATTTATCATTGAGTTGTTTTGTCTCTTTATACTTATAACAGAAATATTTTGTATTTGGCTGAGCGTACAATGTAGCGAAAGAGAATAGAACTACTACTATTCCTATTGCTGCTGCTGCTGCTGCTCCGGCTTGCTGGTTGTTTCCTTTATCAATTTTTTTGAAAGTAACTGTAGATACATGTACATGTAGATCTCTCAAACAGAAGTACAGTTAGCATCCTTGACATCCACTCTTACACTGTAGGGCGCATTTCTTTACTAAAACCCAAATCCAGATTTTTAATCCAAAAACGGATTATTGATCCAAATCATCCACAACAGAAATGGATTCTTTGGATTATCCAAAACCAGATACTTTGGTCACATGATTCAAAGCATTTCTTTACTAAGGATTCAAAAAGAGCGAACAATGCCAGTGGTAACTCAATGAAAACAATAATTCATTTATTACACACATCAGCTGTTTGACTACACTGCCCATAGTAACGGTCATTTTTTAACCCAGGACACGGATTAAATGATCGATTTGTCGGGGTGGTAAAATTACAATACAAACAGGACATGTACTGTTCTAGTTCACAAGGACAAAATTACTACACAACTTCACCCGTGCGTCAATATCCTTGAGCTAATCGTCCAGAATACAATGAAACGTCAGTAAACTTGCAAAACTGTCAGCAGCCGTGCTATTCTTTCGCCGAAATACTGTTGATATTGTGGGTCATTTCTATGGAAATGAATTAAAAATAATCGTCTTCTGGATACATCGTTTTCTTTTCTTAACAAAAAATCCTAATGATCCAGATTTTTTATCTGATCTTGGATTTTAGAAAAGAAACGCACCCTAAATTGTTATAAAGAAAGACCATGTTTATGATTTAAAACAATATCTTCTGACGAAAATTAAAATAAAATTGGTTAACAGACCGCTCATCTCAAAGGCCAGGAACTGCAGCGGTGAATCCCCAGGAACAAACACAGACAAACTCAGGACTACAATTTAAGCTTAATTTACCTTTCCTGGCCTGCCAATAGAAACCTATGGGCTTATTACAGGGTTTCAAGTTTATTGAGGAAATCACAACAATTATTGAGGATATAGCGTTGGGAATACCAACTATGACCAGCTGTAACCGATGGCAAAAATGGCCACTGTTATGTTAATTTCTAAAAAAAATCTGGAATTATACATCGTTCACAAGCACAAACAACAGCTCATGCTTCCTGCTTTAAATTAATGAGGTTCATAAACTATTTATAACCATTTACCTGTTGTAGACTAGCTTCTTACTTTACAGCGGTAATAAGATATTAATGATTCATGCCATTACATGTATGGCGCATTTACCGCCAGGGTGTATCGGTCAAGAGAAAACAACCAGTTCTTCAAATACCACCTTACGTACTGGACCCATAAACTACTCACCTTTGATTGAAATCTCTTCCCTTTCTTCCTTCTTTGGCCGTTAAAGGTCTTTTCCATCGAAAGACAGCTGTTTGTTAAGAGATGTCTTCGTCGATCACATGAATAAAAGCCATCGTCGAGGCAAACAGCCGTGTCAAAGGTTTGGCATTTCTCTTCGTCCTCTTTGAATTGGCGAGCTATGTCCGCTCGAAGCAAATATTTTTGGCGCAAAGTGAAATCTACAGTGTACCAGAGCGTGTCGTCGAATTTTAAGTAGTCTTGACTCTTCCTCTCCAATTAAAAGAAGAATTCATTCATTACGCCATTTAAAACAGTTGTCTTCTCGTTACGTGGTTCAATTCAGATCTGAAAAGCTCACGCTGCGTGAAACATGGCGTCTTTTGTTGGAAAAACAAATGGTGGCGGTGAAATAGACACTGGCGGGAAAGTGTTGCTATGGTTTCCAACAAAGGAATCACCCTTGTGGAACTGACGGACGAAGTGACATGTGCTTTTAAAATACACAAACAATAAACGAGATTCGATCCTCGGCTTTAGCGCGGAAACTATGCTGTTAGACCTTTTACAGTTCGAGTTATAGTAAAAAAGACCACATAAAACATTTATTGTAACTTCGCTGTTTCTGCTATTGAGTGTTCCTGTTCAACGAAGTTTTAGCGAAGCCTCGGGAACGGACTCGGGAAGGGTACTAAGAATAAGGATCGAATTTACTCGTAGAATTATCTTTCTTTGTGCTCATGATCTCTCGCCCATTTTACTGCCGGTTAGAAAGACTGGTTCCCTGTAGTTTGATCATATTTAAATAAAAGGCAAAAGAAAACATCAAAAGAGAAAAGCTTCAGACGGCCATCGATCACGCACAAGCGTGACTGGCGCAAGCGGTGACTCGCACGTGGCCTGTCATCACCAGACGACACTCGTAGGGGACACTGCTGATATTTATAACACTCCGTTCTTACAACAGCATCAATGTGGGTTTTGTTTTCAGTCAATTAAGAATACGCATGCGCATTAGGGTTTAACTAGTAAACCAGCGCTTTAACGTGGGCAAAGTAAAGGGCAGTTTACAAGGGCAGAAGTGGCGATTTTGTTGATGCCGCAGATAGTGCGTGTCATGTGGATCGCAATTTCAACTCGATTTAACATCAGTTTTGGAAGCAAGAACCAAAGTTACGTTACAAAATAGAAGGACTAACCTTGCTTCTGTCGACTAGATTTTAAGTACGTCGCAGCCGCTCAAGGGAAATTCGATGACGATCGAAATTTAGTTTTCCTGGGCCTTGCCTAATAAAACACTTGTCATAAAGATAAAGAAAGCTTTCCCTAAAATCGCCGCCATAAACCCCAATAAACTGCCCCTAGTCATGTGACCAACCGCGCGACAAAATCACCACAAGGCAGTTATTCCCGCAATTTTACACCCCCGCTCCCCTGACTGCCGTCCTCCGATTGAAGAGGCTTGCTTCAGTTTCTCTCTTTTTTGGATAAAAAAAAAAGCCTCCAACTATAACTACAGATATAAACTAGCAAAAAGATCTATTTCCACATCCTAGAATTGCACTATCAACAAAATATCGCACTGTCCAGAGTCGTTGGTGTTCGTTACGAGCTGCGTTTGTCTTCCATAAAATTCGAGTTTGCGACCCGTGGGTGGGGTTACTCAAACAGTTTCATACGGAGAATCTGACAGAAAAGGTACCCCTTTCACTTTTCTTATATTTTGACAAATGGTACTCGTTAATTCATAGTACCTAGTTTAGAACTTTAGAATATCAATAAATCACAAACTAAAACGATATCTAGTCTTTTTCTTGCCATAAAATGCATCTACTTGCACTTTTGGGCCTTTTTGCAAACCGAAATGTCAGATTTCCCTACAATTTCATATACTAGAACTAGTGATATCCTTAGGGATGGACCATTAGAAAATTTATGGGGGGGGCGGGCGAAGTAAAAAAAAGTACTCGCGCAAGGGAAAATTAAATGAAAAAAATTCGTGCACGCCAACAATGGGCTCCTGAAAAAACAGGAGCCCATCACCTGACGCCAATTAATCCTAAAAAAATATTCATGCTATGGCCTAAAAAAATTCATACAAGGAATTTGATACCGAAAAATAATTCCTGCGGCTCGAAAATTCCCCTCCTCCCTCCCCCCCACAACTTTTCAAATGGTCAGTCCCTTAGCCTTGCCTGTCGGACGGAGTCTTCCCGTATAGGCATCAAAGGGTGTCCCCCCCCCAGGGGGGTCTGCGAAGACGATTTATCATAAACCAAGCACTCAGACATGAAGAATAAAGCCAGAATAACTGATAATTTAATTCCCAGCAGCTGGACAGATACAAAATTTTAAAACGCTAACGTATCTGATATTCTATCATTTCATGTCACCAGAAACTCTAAAAGGTTTTGCAAAACTGCTTTCTTGCTTCTATCGCTTAGTTTGTCGCCGAGTTGAAAATCTTCTGATATATATTCTTTAAGTTATATCCTGTGCCTGATAGTTTTTAAATAATTAATAACAAATTTAATATGATGTACTGATACTTTCAAAAGAGCAAATTGGTTTACTCGGCACAAATTGAAATGCTTTGCCCTAGTTCCGATCGAAGTAGTGACCTGAAGACTTTTAATATTCTGTGACGTACATTTAAACTATTCTATAGTGAAAAGTTAAAAATGAAAGAGGAAATGAAAAAGTGACTGTAAAGACATTTCAACTATTTCGGCCCTGGGGCTATGACTGCTCTGATTGATGCTTCCAATAGCCTGTTGGGCAGGTCTTTCACTCAGCGACTTCTTTCGGCCGAGGTTACTCGTTCAAGAAAGCCCTCAGTTAAAAAAAGGAAAAATATTTTTAATCAGAAAAAAGAATGAACGCGTCGATCATCGGGAATCACTGAGCTCCGTTCTAGGAAAGTTGTTTGAGCTACGTGTCAGTATGAGACTAATCCAAAAAAAAAAATCTACCATGACTGGTATTACTTACAAAAATAAACATTTTCACTTAACGTGATTACTTAGTTTTTTCCTCATAGAGGATTAAAAGATTTAAGAATTTAATCTCTTCGCACACTTCGAATGGTAAGCATTTGCTTATAGCTGCCTTTATTCTAGGAACTTTTCGAGGATTTGCCTTGAAGTCCACGAATTAATGTTTTTTTTTTCGCTTTGTCGGAAACAAAGTAACTGTATGCGCTAACTATGTAATGTCAGTCTAGTTTATACTAAAACAATAGCCTTAGAATTCTTCTTCGCCGGTGGCCTGCGAGCAAGCTCTCCATTTAGGGGATATCGTGGAAGTCACGCGCGGAAGGCACTCGAAAAGAGCCAGAGCGAGAGCGCGTTCTCACGCAGCTCGCTTCGCCCTTCAAAAAGCCCTTCGTAATGGAGAGCTTACACACATAAACCCGCAATTCCCGTTCGATACCAATTGAGTTATATAAGATCAAGAAATCATCACGGATTTTACCCTTTCACTCCTAAACGTACTTACAGGAAAATAAAATTTAAAAAGCTATTTTAAAATCCTGAGACTGGATAAACAGTCAGCTGAAGCCAAATTTCTGCCAATGAGGCCCTAAGTTTCATTTGATTGAGAAGCAAGGAGTGACAAAATATCTCGTCTTTCATAACGTATATTTTAGGAGTGAAACGGTTAATTACAGTTATCTCACCTGCAGTGTTAATAAAAATATAAAGTATATCGTCCTGGCATGAGTGAAACTTTAAAAGTAAAGGTCCATCTATTATATTAGATAAGAGTACCCCATTTTAGATATACGGCTTGTATCTTTGAACACGGACTAATATGATGAATTCGATATATTATACAGCTGCTCAAGAGTGATTGGTATGATACGCGATGAATGAGAAACTTGAACATAACATTGGGCGAGTTGACACGTAGGCAAATTAGCTGGAAAGCTGTTCAGTACTTATGTATATCAAAATAATGTTTTTTTTCTAAGTCTAATGAGAGATTTTTAAAGATGTTCTTCTTATCATTTCAGTTTTTTACAATCTCTCTTTGATGCACAGTTCATGGTGTCCGGGCATTAAAACTACGCCCACCTCGCCACTTAAATCTGGATGTGGTTTTCCTGTTGGAACTTCAACTTTAAACTGGTGCAAAAGCCTTGCAGCGATCAAAAAGACCTCAGTTTTGGCGAGGGATTCGCCCAAGCAGCCACGCCGACCAGCGCTGAATGGCAAGTAACTGCGAACTCCAGCTGCTGAGAATTTCCCCTGTGAATCCAGAAAGCGTTCAGGGTTAAATACGTCCGGCTTTTCCCATTCGTCTGTGTCGTGGTGGATCGCCCAGATGTTAGTAATCAACATTGTCTCTTTCGGTACGTCGTAATCACCCAGAGTGGTATCACATGTGGCCTTGTGTGGAAGGGATAGTGGCACGATTGCTCTGATGCGGAGCACTTCCGCTATGGTGGATTCCAAATATGGCAAGTTCCCGCGATCACTCAAGCAAGGCATGCGCCCACTGCCGATAACGTCATCCAACTCTGCATGGACGCGCGCTTGAACCTCTGGGTAGGTTGCCATGTAGGCCATAAGCCAACGGAGGGTGGTTGCTGAAGTTTCCAAGCCTGCGTTGAAGACGTCATTCATTGTCATCACAATGTGGTCTTCCGATAACAATTGTGTCACTTTGCTGTCTTCTTGTTCTGCCTCGTAATAAGCTTTCAGTAGGGCATCAGTCAAGTCCTGAACCTCAAAGTTATTGTTAGCATTGTCTTCTTCGAACCTCACTTTGTGTTCGCGGTATTTGGTGTCCAAGATGTCGTCCCTGATGGCTCTCGACTCGCGCAGTGTCTTCACGTCTTCCAGGGGTAAAAAGCGCAGCAGAGGGATCAGGTCCAGTATGTTGTAACTTCCAAACAGCCTGATGAAGTCATCATTATACTTGAGGATTCTCAGAAATTCATCATCGCCAATGTCATAGCTCTCACCGTAAACAATAGCACAGATCACATTCAATACTGCCAGCTGGATGTCCTCTTTAGGGTTGAAAGGTCTTCCCTGGTAGGAAGAGATTCTTTTCGCGAGAAGTTCCACTTCACTGCATATCAGCCCCTCCAGGCGCTTCATGCCACTTCCGTACATGCGCAGGGCAGAGTGCGCTATCTTGCGTTGGTAAATCATGCCTTGCGTGAAGTCCGCGCAGATGATATCCTTGAAACCACGTGACAAGTAACCGGAAATGTAACTTGCGGGCCTCCCCGAGAAGTCATCCCTCTTGGTAAGAAGGGCCTCTCTAGCAAGGTCAATAGAATTGACCACCACGCAACGTTGACCTCCAGGCAGGTACATTGTGTAGATCTTTCCATACTCCTTTGCCATCTCAGTCATGGCCACGTGACCAGGCTTTCCCGCCAATTGAGGTAGGTTGCCAATCAGCGGGTAATGACGTGGGCCGGGTGGTAGGTTTAGTTTTGCCCGTCTTGGGATGACTGCGAGTAGAATGGCACCAACCACGGCGCATACAATGGCAATTTCCAGAAACATTCTTGATAAACCTGTTAAAAAAAGGATATAAAAGATCAGTCATTAACTCTACACTAGCTCAAGTTAGCCTTCGAGTACAGTAAATCAGCAACTCTGCTATGGTGAGTATTGCTTAACGGAGTGTGTGTGATGATTGTCAGAGATAAAGTTTAAACCCTGCGTTTGCCGACACGTACAATAGACCTTTTGGTGATAAAGGGTATCTATTTGGGGTGGGATTAGGTAGCCTACATGCAAGCAGACGTAGGAGCGCTGGTTAAGGATTAGTATTTCATCTAGAATTTGCTTCGGAACAGTTTTGGCCTGTTGCATGAAGAGCCGCCACTCATTGCTCCCATTGCTGGGGACGTTTCGGCGAAGTTACGCAAAAGTGCAATGTTATTTTACAGCTTGTAAATGTCAGGTCCCTCGATTAAGAGTAACTTTGTTATTTTTTGTTTGGTTATAATACAAACGGGAAGTTTCAGCACCGCCGGAAAGACTAAAAATTTCTGAAGAGCGATTTAAGTGATTTCATGTTATATTTAGGGGCAGCGGCTAAATCAAAAGTAACCTCGGTCAGAGAGTCCACCTCTTCCTTCTGAATTCAGGGACTCTCAATATTTTTATGAACGAATCTCTCCTATGAGGCACGGTATTCAGATTCAATCCGTGATTTTCTTCAGTCAAAATGATAAAATTGTTGCATGACAAAAATTCCAGCTGCACTTTGTGGCACGCGCCAATGTTTTGCAACTGAAATGATAAGTAATTGTATTTCGAAAAGATACTTAAGATAAATGAGATGGTTTCCTTAAATTCTACCCCGTTGTTGCTCTCTTCATTCGTTCCTGTTTTAGTCAAAATTTCAGTTCATGTAGCGTAGATCGAACCACACTTCTACTAGCTTGACCATGTGATAGTTAAGATACAGATCATAATTAGGGTGGTCAAAGCGTGACACGCGGCAAGCAAAGAGAACCTTTGTACAACTCTCCAGATCGGCTTCGGCTCGTTGCCTAAGAGAACCCTCGGAATGAGGTTGTCTGATATGTTGCGTTATTCTTTTATTACTTAACTCATTTTTAATTTCACTGCCTCAAAAAGCAATTCGTGCCAATTTGTAGGGCAAACGTTTTAAGCTTAAAATGAATGTTTGTTTTTTGTTTGTTTAATTTCACGTTAGACCGCGGCTGTCTTAGACCATTCTGATGCTTTATCTTGAGTCAGTTGTTATGTAAGTTGCGTTCGTTATTGATAAATGGATTAGTAAAATAAAAATAAACGCCTGCAACATGTGAAATCGAGCTCTTTGAAAAAATAAATTGAATGCCAGATGAAGAAGAAGTTAAGTGATTCTTTCGAGAGCTCAGACGTGTGAGTATTTGTAGATAATCCTGCCAGGAGACATGAGTAATCTCGTCTGTACGCTAAACCCCTCTCCAAAAATGGCCAAAAAAAAAAAAACAGAACGAAACCTCCAAATTTTATTTTGGAAAACATTGAAAACCACGAGAACCACGAGAACCACGCAGAAACACTGCTGAAGAGGTTTCATTTGAATGGTAACAAAGGGCGCCGGTTTTATCAAAAGACTCCAAAGTTTCGCACGTTCCTTTGACTACTGCTAAGCGGGCGTAGCCTGCTCCGGCGTTCAGAAAGTGGAGTAAGGCTTTAAGACTCGCATCTCTTTGCGTCGAACGCCTAGCTGAGAGCAACCTTACTTATAACAAGAGAAAAACTTCTTTTATTTTTGTTTGCATTTCGGGCAAAAAACGTCGGTTAAACCAACATATAAATTGAGCTAACATAAGCAGTTCTTTTGTTTCTAAGCTTAATCCAGAGGAAAACGGTGACAGTCATGTTGAATAGATTTTCAAGCGTCTCTAGGTAAGTATTTTCATAAAGACTAAGCACCCATATCGCTTGTTTATTTTCATCAGAGTACAAAAAGTCCTCGTGTAGATCACATGCAAATCCTTTCTTAGTCTACTGCGCTCAACATGTGCATTCTCCTAACTGCTCAGCATACAATCTGTTTGGTACTGATGAGGAGAAAACGTTTCTCGATCAAGATGTTTGTGTCTTGGCGATCATCTCTTGATTCTTATAACCTTTGTTACCGTTCATAGGGGTTAAAGGGCTTAGAAATATTGACTGTCTTCGTGATAAGAGGAGCGAGCTGTGCAATCTTTTTCGGACCACGGTGTTTGCCTCTCTGGCTACCCCAAAACAATATCTGTTGAGAATTGTCAGGAATAAAATGACTTGTTCCCATCTATTGACCTCTAAAGCTGTGTCAGACTTTGTTTAGTTTTAAAGCCAAACTAGACATGTTTGCATATAGAATGCTTGTGGTTGTGTGAGCATTATTGATAAAATTAGTCTTACGCGCAAAGACCCAGTACTGGCCCTTAGACGCCAAAACGTAATAAGTCTCCGAAAATTCGACGAGACACTTGGTACTTTATGCTGTATTTAACTTAAATTTGATCAATTTTATAGCATGCTTTAATGTTAATACACCCTGCAATTTATTTTTACTGATCCCACGCAATTTAACATTCGATAGTTTATTCGCTGGGTTTTGTAAGAGCGACACATCCAACTACAGAATGAAATTGAAAACTCATCACTCCAAGCACTTCCTATATCTTTGGGATAATTAGATCGAAAGTACTTTAAAATTCGAGGGATATGTAATGCTCGCCCTCTTCCCACGAACAAAAAGAGGAGATGTCATGCGATTTAGCTTAGCCCAGTATGAGAGCACATGAAGTTTGTAAAAAAACAATCAATGATTAGAAGAGGAAATCAAACAGAGAGGAAAAGGAAATAATACTTGAAACAGAGGAAATCATGAAAACTTAATGTGTACTTCTTAAAGATGCTCACAGCTAGTTGAGAGTTTCATGAGATATTGATAAGAAAATATTGATAATGGCAGCCTTAGATAATTGACAAATTATACTTCTTACCAAATTAAGCTTCACACCACGCTAATTTTGTCTATTCTAAAATAGTTCAGGGTCTTTATTGAATTTATAACTGATAATCTGGTTGCTCCGCCCAAGAGTGGCACGATTAGTGATTTGCACCATGGTCACTAGCAGACAAAATTTGCAGATATGGCTGAAAAATTCACCTAAATTAAAATGCGGTCAAATACTTTGAATAGCTTTTGATTTAGAATGATAACAAGTCTCGCTAGCTCAAAACTGAATTACTAAATGCAACCATGTATCTGGGCAAACATTTCAAAGTAAGAACGAAAAACGGGACAGCGGAAATACATGTGCGATCTGAAATTTATATGCAATTTTAAATGGCTGTTGCCGGCGGTCTTAAGTTCCGCAATTACTTTAAGTTTCTTTCGCTCAATGTTCTGTCATCAGAACAAATTGAAAGGAATTTTAAGATGAACTAAAGATCAGTTGCCGTTTTCGTTCCATTGTGTCGTAAAGAGGGGAAACTTGTCTAAAAATGTTGACTTTTTTAGCAAGAAATAAAGATGCCTAACATTTTCCACTGAAGAGGGCCGGGACGCATGTGGGTTACTAAGAAATATGTTATTGATGTAAACAGTGATTCAATAGCCTCGTTGCGCGTAGTTGATAAATTTTGAGAGCTAGTGAGAATATCTAAACTCGAGCATACATAAATCAATATAAAAAGAGCCATCGACAGGTTTTCAAGACCTCACGAAATTTCTGTAGGATTAGATAACTTATCAGAACAGTTTTTAAGGAAAGTAAATAAAAAGATTCAGTAGTGAATCAATAAGGGCGTTTTCCACAGCTCAGAAATTTATGTGCAGCAACTTTTGCAAGAATTGAAAGTAAAATAACTTTTCAGGAGTTAAATATTTCTTAATTTTAAGCTTGAATGTGCCAAAACGGAAACAATTATAATTGCCGGCTTATTGCTAAAGATAAGGTCGGTATGGAAATGTCTTTTGAACGCTACACAAAGAGTACAAAGTACAACTGTACAACCGCGGAAGGCGGGAGCCAAGGACAGAATAACCTGGAAAGGGTAACTTGGTAAATTATAAAGAGTGAGAAAAAGAAAATGTTAAATGTTACATAGAATCCTTCCAGAAATTTTCCAACTTAGTGAATGTTATCGTACCTGAGTGCAGTGAAACTTAATGTTTCGTCTTTTCCAACCTTGGTGCCGTAGGGCTTAATGGACAGTCTGCTCTACAAAGCTAGAGGTTGCTTACAAACAAGAACGTTTCAGGGGTACCCTTTTATATCTGATTTGCTACGTGACAGCTATCAACGTACTTTGCGTGTTTACGCGTATCGCACTTGCCATTCGCGGATAAAATTAGACATGCAACGCAGCGTGAAATTGCAAGCTGGCTGCTAGCTCCACCGCGCGCCATTGTAATCGGTCACCCTTCGACTCACCGTCTCGCCCACGTATAAACTGTGCAGCAGTGCAGCAGTAAAGACCTCAAAAACGCGATCTTAAAAATCGAAATCGGCCTGGCCATAGTATATACGTATTCTATGCTTGCAACTTCATGCTTACATTTTGCAAAATCACTGTGGCTATCACTCGACTTACCCACCGTGCGGTGTATAAATAGTTTTGTTTAGTGCACCGGCAATTAGTCACGTTTTTTGACTTGATATACACGCCATGATTCAAGGTCAAACAAAGCTTGGTTTATTTAGTCTGTGTTTATCCAGCGCCATGGAAATACAACTTTATTTCACTGAGCTAATATTTGTTCGCCTCCCTCGTATTACGTCTGCGAGACCGTTCCGCAAAACGTCACGAAAAATCGTCATCACGCGTCGTCTTCGGTTATTTTTAGCCAGCAGACGAGTTTCAATGCAGATTCAATTAAGTCCAGATATAGATGAAATCAACGGCAAACACAAATATGATTCCTCGCGGCAGAGTTCGTTCCGACGAAAAAATGAATCGCGCATTCGTAGAGCGCGAACGAACAAGTCTTCGTGATCGCATTAAAAATAGCAAAGTCACGGAGGTTTTGGTCACGTTATGTTGTATTGATAATGCATGGCTTGGGGTCAAACATAATGAACATTATCCCATAATCATTGGCCGTAAACTTGTAATCGCCCAGTAGACGGGAAAATCATAAAGTACGTCTAAAAATTATGCCATGGCATCACGTAGACGGCGAGCAGTAAGTCGTGTTCCTGAAAACAGACAATTCGGGATTAAGGGAAACAAACTCCATGCTCCATGGGGTGAACGCGGTATAACCCATGTTACATGCTGCGGATTGATGTTTGCCTAGTTTTCGTTATCTGCTGTCAATCTCCTTATTATGTCTGCGTACAATATTATGATAGAATGCCTTTAAATATTCTTAAGGTTAAGAAAACCTGGCAAAAGAATCAAAATAACTATACGTGAGTTAAATTTCCTTCAATTCGCTGAGACTGGATTTAGTTTTAGTTTAAGAGAATATCATTAACAAATCAATTATTGCAGCTTGCGTAATATTTCAGATACTAGGGGTACCGGCTACATACCGCAAAACCATACCCTTGACTATTTAAACTTTGGATGTTTTGAGTAAAAGGACCCACTGCAAAAATATGAAGATGACACACTTAAGGTAACAGACACAGCAATCTAGTCACGCTAAAACACGTGCCTGCCCTTTGGCAGGGCACCGATGTGAAAGCCCTCTAGAGGACCGGTCTTTAAGATTAACATAAGCAATAGACAGTTGAAAGGTAAGCAGACAAGAAAAACCTCAGAACGGCGGTAGCTCTCTTCAAAACACGAAAAATTTTTTCATATATTGACTCTTTGAACAAGGAGCTAAAGAGTGATTTGCTTGAATTTGCCATTATTTGGGACATAATTGGCCGGCTGTCTATCTTTGATTAATCTCATTAGTTTTGTTATGTCATTAACGGCATGTTAAATGGTTTATTTGTTTATTTATCCGTAAGAATTTAAATTATTTCACGAAGTGATGGAATGGAAGTTTCATACGTGTCTGTGATAAAACATTCTTTTATGGCCAACAAAAACGACTTTTGTTCCAGAACCAACATACTTAACACTTCATGTTCGTCTTCTTGTGTAATATCCTTTCTCATATTTTTAGACGCAAATATAACGTCATGACCTGTGTTCAGTTGATGTTAAAATTAAACGATTCATGATCTACTCTTGAGTTAATAACCAACCTTTGTGGCACTAAAAAAAACTGAGACGGAATATTTTCTTTTATCACGTACGTGTAACAGAGACGACATATTTAGATGACTGTGTCGAACTTAACACGTACAAGGTTGAATTTAATTTTCCCGTCTGCGTGCAATTAATTGTAGTGATCTTCAAGTGCCAGGGCCAAGATCGAAAATGCCTATGACAGGGGTTATTCATTTGCTCAGGGGAGAGCGCTCTCGTTTACACTAGCTTGATAAGAACGGACAAAGCGATGGATTCGGTACATTCACCCATGTCACCTGTCACAAAAGAGTATCTTAGTGCGAAACAAACTCTATAATTAAAACTACTAGGGATTATAGGTTAGCATAGTGTGAAAAAAGATATTATCATAATAGTTTATTTTGCTGAGTATAATTACTGGATTAACGCGTAGTCTCTAAAACAATAAAAAAACACAACTTGTGTGGGCTTTGATCACGATTTGAGCAACTTGACTCAGCAACAAGTTATTGACACATCGAGACACAGAGTTTTGTTGACACAAAACGTTTTTTGTACATGCAACCAATAGTCGCATTTGCAGTAAGATAACTGTTTAGTCTTGGTGCTTATAATGGTTGCAGATGACAAACTGTTAAGACGTTCTTTTCACTCTGATTAGTTTGTAGAAGTTCGGTTTATGATTGCCCAGTGTAGTTATCAGGTCTTAAAAGTACCTTGGAGCTATGCCTACATCAATTGTTTACTCAAAGTATTGGCTAAAGGCAAAGGTCGAAGAAAAATTCAAATTTCATCTTGCAAAGTCCTGAAATCCAAATCAAGCGCAACGCAAAATCCTTTAAAAGAGGCTTAAATTGAAAGGATTTGGCCCACGGACAAAAACGTTCGGGTAGAACAATGTACAAACCTAACAGAGCCACGTGAAAGTATCGTTGAAGAGGGCTGTGACACCATTTTCGAACACTTCGACCACGTGCTCATTGTGCTGGCTTTACCCAATTACGCTTAAACAATTAATGTCATGTGTTTTTGACAGCGAATGGCCTATGTACAGAATCAAAAGGGTTGCAGCTTAGACTTCATCAGGCCTAGTTCACAAGTTTTTTAAGTTTTGATTGTTTGGAGAAATTGTGGGTGAATAGAGTTGTCACGGTTTTCGACGCCATCTTGACGAGTAGACAAACGCGTGAGAAATTTCCGTAGAACGGCTGTTCTGAAAAAAATATGATGGTAAACTAAAGCTTCATTCCTAAGTTTTCTACTGAAAAAATTTGAGGGCTTTACATGCGCTAGAAGACATAGAACCACTTTTTAAATTTCCCATACATTTGTCTGTAAGAATGTCCCGGGAAATTTTACAGACAAATATATGGAAACTCTAAAGCAAGCCTCTGGAGAAATTTAAGCACAGGTACGCCTCCAAACTTTTTTACGACAATCCTTTGCTTTGTAGCTTTAGTTTACAATTGATAATTTTTTTCAGAACAGCCGTCTTACGGAAATTATTCCAAATTAGATTCTCATACAAGCACTGTAATTTCTCACACGTTTGCCTACTCGTCAAGATGGCGTCGAAAACCTTGACAAGGTCTATTAAAAGGTACTTAAGGTATTTTTAGCAACGATTAAAAGCTATTCCCTGGAACATAGTAGGTAGATATATATTGCTCACAACTTTTTACTCCTCATGATAAAAACAACGGGTAAAGCCTCCAAAGACGGACAAACTGTGAAAAGAAAGTCTGTAAAAAGACAAGTTTGCAGACAATGTCGTTACGTAATCCAATACGACGTTTAACGGACTCGGCTTATGGTCGTTTTACATTTAGCATCATCCAAAAGGCACTAACGCTGTGAAAAACGTGACTCGACAAAAAGGAATTCTTGCTAATTGAGGAATTTATTTAAAAAATGCTCTTTTTTGACAGTTTTAAACCTAAGAATACTGCTTCGAATTTGGAAAAAATCCCAGGCACTTTGTCAACCAGCCTCCAAGTTCAAAAGAGCGACGTAATTCAACGGAAACGTTGCCCGTTCAGTTCGCACTTAAGGCATGACTAATAACCTAATTTAATTATGCATATTTTATAAAATGCTTTTCAAAAACAATTTGCCTCGATCTATGAAATTAAAACTGAAAAATGAACTACAGAAGCTCAATAGTGTTAGGTAACATTTTGATGGCCATACTTAATCTTATGCCCAACCCTTTCCCCCATAAAAAAAACCACGCATTTTTCGAAGTCATCGACGGAAAAATGTCAAGAGTCATTTGTAATCATGTTTTATAATTATGTTATTTCGTGAGTTCATTTTTTATGATAACAAGTGGAAGCAAACAGTTTTAAATGGCACTTGCATTTAACAAATATGCATATTTAATGAGGCAATCATGACTAATTCTTTTTTATTTTTCTTCTCAGAAGTTACGCTCTTCAAATTAATACTACATCTTTCAAAGATTTTTGCAACAATTGAAGCACTCCCAAGCGGCTTTTATGATATGAACTAAAACTCTCCCGTTATTACTAGCCGAGTGTTTTACATACGATCCACTCTTGATCTATTGTAGTCAGAATTGGGTCAAATTTCTGGGTTATTTTGGAACAATAGAAAATATGTGACATTCTTGTAACTAACTGATTCATAGTGACGAGGTCACGAATCAGCCCGATTAGCGATGAATGGTCGATGTCTGTCCAGATAAGCCAGGTTAAGTAAATAAACCCTTGTGTTTTCTCCATAATTTAGACGTTTTTTACAGCTTCCCTTCGGTATACATGTTCCACTGTTTTGAAGAGGTTGCCAAAAAGGAAGTGAAATAGCTAAGCTGAAGAAAAATTGCCACAAATAGGCGAATACTTGTTTGACAAAGTATTTATTGCACTCAGGGTGCTTTTTTTTTAACCACTTAAGAAGAACTCGTGCACTTGTTCTAACAGAAGGGCGCCACTTTCGTCGCCCTTTCCCTAAAAGAGTCAGATACCGTGAGTCTACTCGGGAGAAATGCCAGAATGTAAAGAATGCAGCAGTTATAACTTTTCATGACCATTTCAATGAGTCTTTAGTGTGATTGTTCAAATGAAACCCCTCACACACGGTACTAGCCTGTTCCAAGGTACAACGTAAAGAGAAGTGAGCAGAAAAAAAACAACGAGGGGTGGGGTAGGGATGAGAGAGAGTCCTCTCTCTCCCCAGTCTCCCCCTCTTTCCTCCTTATTTTTTTCTCTCTCTCTCCCTTCGCGCTGCACTCCAATATCCAAACACCTGGAACAGGCTAACACGGTACCATTTTTTTTGCACTTTTTTTAAAAAGAGGATACAAGA